GCTGGGAAGTTTATGAAAATTGTAGGTGTCACCTGCAAGGATTAAGTGATTTTGAGGTGTTGCAGCACTGGGTGCTTTTCCTGCCCTTGTACTGGAGGACTGAAAGCGCTCATGACAGGGATTCTGTCAGGGAAATGGCAGGAGTTTGTTCTCCTCATGTGAGCAGGAGTTTGCAAATATCTCCTGTTGCTCATTGTCTGTTTCCCTGGACTACAAAGTACTCACCTGCTTTAAACACCTCCCCTTGTGTCAGTTCTTAAATACTGAAGTTGTGGATATGAAACAATAAACTATATTGAAGAATATAAAGCCTATAAACTATCCTTGAATTAAAATGTGAGCAACCATAATACTTAGAGCAGTAGACAGGATGGTTGACATAATGCCTGAAAGTGGAATTTTCCTCTGTGGAGTGAAAAAGCTAGCTAGCTCACTGGAGTTGAAATTTGGAACAGAGTGTAAAGGATATTAACTGTGCAAAATTCAAGTGTTTTCAGCTTCAGAATGTTCTGCCCTTTCTGCCTGGAATTTTAGGTACATCAGATGTTTTTGATGGAAATGAATGTACGGCTTGCCAGGTACAGCTATTGCTTTGAAAAAGATAATCTTTATCACATCATATCAGACTAAAAAAATGAGGGACAAATATGATGAGGAGATAGTTTTAATTACATTTTCTTATTTTGGAACAGAGGTTTTTTTGGGCCTTTTTTTTTTGTTTTTTAGTGGCTCTGGAGAGTACAGTTGGGACACATGATATCCTCTCTATCCCTGTAGTTAAGTTCTCATATTTGCAAAAACACCCGTGTGAGAATATGCTGTCTGTACTAATAATTCAGTATTTCTGTATGGAAAATTGGAGTGACAGCACTTTTATTTTTGGTTTCAATAGGTTTTCATAGTAACAGCTTAGAATTTCCCCAGGTATATGTGGATGCATCAACACAGGCATGAAGATCTTTATTAGAAATTTGGGGTTCTTTTATTAACTGAAATTTTTCCTCAAGAGATGGCTGCATAATATAGTAAGAGAGCAAATAATAGCCCAGAAGATGTCTAGAGGCCTGTGGAGACTATGGTGATGATTAGGACTTCAGTAGGATCTTCAGGCTTAGTTTAAAAAAATACAGTCAAACATTTGCTTTAAATGTATCTATTCATGATGGTAAAATAAATAATTCTTAACAATGCAACACAGTAGTGCTGCTTCCTGTTTTACTTCCCCATGGAGCTCCTTAGCGCTAAGGCACTTTAATAAATGATATATGTAATATGGCATCTAAGTTAAACAGTTAACAGTAAGGAACTTCAAGGAATAGACATCACTACTGAAGCTGGTCATGAGTGGTGGGTGATGACATGAAGATTAATCAAGTTTGACTTCGAATTTGGCAATTTTTACCAGTTACATGAACTCTTTTTTTCCAAAAGTATAACCCAATTCTAAAGATTTTTCAGTGTGTTGTATATTTCCAGAGCAAGTGTCTGAGTTTATTGTATTAAATAGTAGAAATAAGTAGCTGCTGAGGAAAAAGAAGTCAGACAAAATTAGAAAGCTGTTTACGTGGAGAGAGGTCTCTGAAATGCTTTGTGTTAGCTATTAGATCTGGTCTTGCTTTATTTTGCTTGAAAATTACGATGTTCTTCAGAATGCTAAGTTTTACTAGTAAATATACTGCCAGATCTTGGGTAAAATAAGTGAAAGACTCTTAAAATTAGTGAAAAGCCAAAGAGAGAGGGGTTTTGTCTATGAGAAATCCTTATTTTTTCAAATATAAATACATATATATATATATATGTGTGTGTGTGTGTGTATATCGTGCTGTAAAATGACCTGAATTGAATTTCCTTTCAAATCCTATTTAAAATGCCTTAGATGGAAAAGACGTAGTATCAAAATGGCAGACATTCCTCATAGTGTGCTGGCATGCTCCATCTAGAATACTTCATTGCTGTGTTATTTTTGGGAGATGTGATTTCACAGAGGGAGGGGAGAGACAATATTTGCCAATATTGGCAAATTCACCCTGGCCAAAAATGAAGTAGTATATTTTGCTTCTGGTAGTCCACAAGATGAGGAACTAATTTAACAGCCGTTTGTTTTTCTACCATCTGGAGGTTCTTATTTGACTTATAACATGATGTCATACATGCTTAGTGCTGAATAGATAGTGAAAGTTCACCTGCAGTTCAGCCTGAGATAGTTTTGTTTCCTGTTCTGAGAAATGTAAAAGTCTTGGTTCATGGTTACTAGAGGCACAAAGATGACTTTAGGGAAGGAGAAAATGACTGGCATAACCAGTGTTCTCCTGAACCTCCACATTGCATTCCTGTGAAAAGAAAAATCAATATGCACACCCAAGACCACACACAGTGTGAGTTGTCTATTCCCTCTTCCAGGCTGGCACTGGCTCAGAATTCTTCCTCCACTTTCAGAATGGCTCCTTGATGTGAAAGTTAGTTTGGGGATGATATACTTATTCCATCGAAATACTTCATTGTGTAGGTGGAGTTTTGAATTAAGGTGCTGTGCTATATCAGACTCGAGATGTAAGAAACAAGATATGTATCTGGCAGATTTTTTTCAGCCACCTAAGGCTGTGATTGGGATGCTGTGCTCTTTCCTTCCCAACTCTTACACTGTCCTTGTGTGAATTGGGGTTGATGGGATTGAGATTCTTTGGCTGTTTCTCAGTGAGATTGAAGCTGCACTTTGTTTATGCTTTAAAGACTTTATTTGAAGCTAAAGCAGGATTTGAGTCTGAGAAGCTGGAGTGGGCAGGAGCTCTGCTCCTGTGTCCAACACAGGTTGTTACTCTGATCATTCAGAGCCATGTGCTCATCCTCTCCTTGAGGATTCCTTGTGGTCCCAAGTTTTATTGCCTAAAATCCCCCCCTGACTCCTGAGTTGAATCTAGAGAGCCATGCTGACAGGGCGTGTGGGAGGAAATCAGTGAAGAAGTTTGTGAGAATTGTCTGCTGAGCCTTTGGGGGCTTGGATGGGCAGAGAAGGAAAGATCATTGACTCAGATGCTGCTGGGTTCAGCCAAGCAGGACAGAGCTGCATCAGACCTGTGAGTGCTGCTGTGATGTCCCAGGCATGGGGAGTGGTGCCAGTGCTTTGTTTAGCTGCAGATCTGATCACCTCCACTTGAAGCTTCAGGTTCTGCCTCGTGGTAGCTGGAAAATGAGCCTGGCAGTGCCTGACAGGGGAGAGCTCCTTTTGGGGAGTCTGCTCAAGCTGCAGCTGAAAAGCCCAACAGAGATTTCTGTGATTTGACGTCAAGGATTTCAAATTAGCGATTAAGTATAAAGATGTGGTAACGAGGTTCAGGTGAGGTCTTTTATGTTTATTAAAAGAGATCTGAAAGCTTGCTGCTACTAGTATTTCTTGTTTTCTAATTGAAAAATAATCTTTGAATCCCTTACTTCATGCTGCTTACAAACTGAGAGATCCTATTACTGTAATATTGTAAAAAAAGTCTTAAAAATAAAGTAAATCCAGTGGAATATAAATCTTTTTTCCAGTGTATAGAAAGGCAATGAGCCATTTTAAAAGCAGGAAGAACATGCATTTTGAGATCCAATAGATCATCTAAATTGGTCTCAAACCAAGTTTTAAAGTGGCATTGAAAATACTTTTGCTTTGAATAAATTTAGTGTTACAAAACTCCAAATAGACATAAATACAGATTTGCTGATTGTTTTGCACTTTGATAGCATTCCGAATAACTAGGGAACAAATTGCTTAACAGAGAAGACCCTTTCTGACTGTTCCATCTGCAGAACTTAAAAATGCTTAGCCTCTATTTATGTCCTTCCAGTTTCTTCCATCTAGCTTTTTATTAGGAATTAATCTTATGCCTGTCTAGGAAATATAAACTTTAACCTCTTGTTCTTTATTTTCTAAAATTTATATGCTTGAATTTTGCATTAGTGAATCTAATATTTCTTAATATTAGTTGCCTGACTGGCTGCAATACTCTTGTAGATGGAGTATTATTGTAAATTGCCACATCATACATTTTCAGTCTAAACCTTGACTTCTCAGTGGTGAACCTTGCAGCCAAGGAAAGCCTGTGAGTCCACTTAATGTGAACATCTCATGGTTCAGAGGTGCAGAAAAACCCTCTTTACAAGGAAACCTGTCTCTGTAACAATAAATGATTGCACTCCCTTTATCTTAGTTCTCTACTTTCTATGATGTTTATTAGCACTGACTGAATTTTGTGAATTTTATGTTTTCTTGTATTATTTTATTTACAAATAAGCTTTCAACAAGATGAAGCTCACAGTGAAAAAAAAAGTCTTGGTTTTCAAAAACTTCATATATGATGAAATCTGTTCTTTACTCCCAAGTATTCCCCACTCCCCTGCATTATATGCTGAGAGCTGATCAGCACTTCATCTGTAGCTGCTTTTCTGAACCAAAGTATGTAAACAGTGTGAGTGTTCCTGAAGGCAGCAATAAAGATCAGGTGTGATTCTTGTAGTAAAAATGGTTAAAGCCAAACATATTCTTTCTTTAATGAATTGATATTTCTGCTATGTTATTACTGTTTGGATTGCATTAAGAGAATAACAAATTTGCATACTTGAATATTTACACATCAAGAAATGAGAAAATCAAGGGTGCTTACACATTCTGTGCTGTTGGAATTCTTTTGGGTTTTGTTTTTTCTTCTTCTTAGTATTTATTTTAAAAAGCAACACCTCCATTATATATGCAGAGCATTTTGCTTAGGAAAATCCTTGAATATCCCTTATTTGATGGGGATTTGTCCTTACTACAGAGAAGTAGTCAGACCCATTTGGTAAGAGATTTGTGAAATAAACACCGGAGAAAAGTGTAAGAAGTAAAACAATGTCTTAGAGTTCAGTTTGGAAAATTACATAAAAGTGAAGTAAAGCATTTCTTAAGTGTGAAAAAAAGAGTATTAGAAAAAAATATGCTAATGATTGATACTGAACCCTAGATATGTTTGATTTACTTACTGCAGGTTGATGCCTTGAGGTTACGATTGGAAGAAAAAGAAACCTTTCTGAATAAAAAAACAAAACAACTTCAAGACCTCACAGAAGAGAAAGGAACCCTTGCTGGAGAGATTCGAGATATGAAAGACTTTTAAAATATTAAAAAAGATGCAGAGAATCTTTAATAGTAAAATTCTCTATTATAAAATGTCTTACTGTTATCCATGGGTACATTTTTTATAGTATTACATCATATATATTATATCAGAAAAATATTAGATGCTGCAGTTGTCCCAAAGTTATTGGAGTTAAAGGAAAGTACTAAAAATCCTGATAAAACTTCTTTTCCCTCAAAGGATACTGGGATTCCAGTATCCTTGTGAATGCTGATTACTACTCTTTCCAAATAATGTAAATAAAATGTGTGGGCCTGCTAAAGGATTGGGATACTGTGTTTTTAGCCTGAAGGACTTTCTTTTCTGGGGGAAGATGAGGGGAGTGGAGAAGAAACCTAAATTAAATCAGTTATCTGCTTTCCCTGTGGTCTAAAGACATTAAGAAGGAAGGCTCCCTCCAAACAACCAAATAATCTTATTTCTAATTTTCCACAGCTTTAACTAACTGCATTTGCTCTCTTTGGAAGTTGGATTCAATCACACAGTTTCCACCTGGGGGAGTGGGGAGGGAATTTCCTGTAGAGTCAGCTCTGCAAGGGTTCTGAATACAGTAATAGAGTGTTCATTTCCATATCCTCTTTCTCACACTCACAAAAATATTTATGCTACCAGGTGTGTACTGTTTGTGTCCTGTTTACCATACAGAAATGCACCTGTGAGCATACAGAGAAATGGAGTCCAAATTCCTGGCATCACCTATATTTTACTATTCTCTCCTCCTTTTACAGCCACTCAAAGAATGTCTGCTCCTCCTTACTCTATTATGTAGGTAGTTCATGTTACTGTGGTTTTCCTCCAGGATTCATACAGGGTTCACATGGTCTAGTTGTGCTTCTGTCTGCAGTTGCTTAAGCACCGAATTAAAAAAGCCAAGTTATTATTTTGCAGAAACTGAGAGGGCTGTTTTTTCAGGTCTGGGAAATAAGGTCTATCAAATCTGAATATAAGTACTCATCCATTTTAATCCTATTTCTGAATATTTGCCTTGTTAGCAACGCTGAACATGTAAACTTCAAGGCTGTTGTCCTGAATGCCAACTAGTTTTGGATGTTTCTTGAGCGTTCTGAAGAATAGAATGCATCTTTTCTTATTGTTTACATTCTAAAAAAAAACAAAACCCAAAAAACAAACCCAAACCCCTGAACAAACCAACAATTTACAATTTCTCTTGTACTTAGATCTTGAGAAAATGGGTCAATAAGAGGAACGTATATTCCGTGGTGAAAATCTTGTGATGAGTAACTACCACAGAGTTGTCAGCACTATCTGTCATGGCTTTGTCCTCAGAAATATGCAGCGTAGCACTTTTCCTGTTTTTAATAAATCATGGCCATTTTATTAGGGTGTGCAGATGGTCTTGCCTCTTTTCCACTTGCTTCTTAATGGACATAATCATTCTCAAGCTGCACTCTCCCTCTTCACTAGATCATGGAGTAAAATATGTCATAGCCTCATGAGCTCTAGTATACAAGGAGATAAATCCTGCTAACAGCTGGGTGGAAAATTGGAGCTAGTACTGAACTGATTTTTTTAAATCTGGAAGTAGCATTTTCAGTAGCATTTTCTATTTTGGAGGGTTTTTTTCCTTTCATTAGGGTACTTGTGAAGTTCAGTTTTTCTGTTATGGACTAAATACCGGGTTTACTTAGAGAAGAATGAATTTGAAGGATTACTTCTAAAAAAAGCAATAAATATTATGTTTGCAGCACATAAGTTATGTGTAGAATTGTTTCTCTGAACCATTTTTAGTAACCACGTTCTTTTAATGTGTAGATGTTAGCATGCCCAAAAATACTAGTGCCAGATTTGTCATAATACCATTATTTTGTTTATAGAAGAAGAATGTTGTATTTGGAAAATACATTTTTAAAATTACCCTTAGGTCACATTTTCAGATTTGGATCTTTATTTTACTTCTGTTTCTCTTCCAATATTCACTCACAGATCATTCGACTAAAGAGAAATTTGATTGAAATATTGTCCAGCTCTGCTTACCCCTCTTTTGAGTAAATCTAGGCTATGATGCTATAAATGATGCTTTCAGTGTTTACTTTTCACATGCCTGGTGTACAAATCTGAAGTAGAAAATGCTGTATGTCACCAGTGCAATCCCAGACTTTTACATTCATCTGTAAAAAAAACCAAAACTCTCTACTTGTCTGGTTAACCCAAGTGTTCAGCTTCATTCTGGCAGTGCTTATTAGATAATGACTTCTCATATTTAGTGTCCTTGAGCATTCCAGTGTCCTTGGCAGCAGATGAAATCTCATCCCTGGGTGACAGTACTTGTGTGCAGAAGGGAAGGTGTTCTGTGTCTATTTTGTTTTTCAGGAAGCTTTCCTGGCATTACTTCCTTTCAGTTCTAGATAAGTTTACCCTCACCAGATGAAGCTGTGTCCCAGGGCATTCATACCTTGTCCAGTCCACATGTTCTGCCAAGGGCAAAGGGAGCACAGCTCCTTTTGGAGCACAGGCAGATTGTTCTTTTGGTCTTGTGTTATTTCTGAAGTATGTTGGACTATGCACAGTACTCATTCCTAGTGCTGTAGTATTGTTATTGCAGTATTTTCTAACAGGCCCTTTTCAAGGGTTTTCAGAGAGTGTAGTAGTGGATGCTGTGCTTTAAAAAAAATATTGTCCAATACACCTGTTTTCTTTCCAGTGCCTTTCTTTCATGCCTTTTCAATTGCAAACATAACTAAGAATAAATTTTGATAGAAAAGTATTTAATCTATCCTAATTAATAGTAATTTTATCCTTTATTTTAATGTAATTATAGTTTTATCTTTTACTCCTTTCTGGTTTGCACATGACTTTTGCTTTCCCCAGTTTTTGCTCATCATCTGAACTTTTGGTCACATCTTCCAGTATTGATTTCACTTTGGGGTGGCAGCCAGACACATCTGTGTTGAGCATTTAGAAACTTGTTCCCATTGTATGTGGAGGATTCAGGGAGTGGAAAGCAGGATGGACCATTTCCTGTGGCACTCAGGAGGTGGAACAAGGACTGGGGCTCACAGTGGATGGCCCTAGGTTTACACACCCTCACTCCTCCATGCTCTGGTTCTGCTTACTCTCCTGGAAACCATTCTGAGAATGAAGGAAGTGCTTCTAGTTCTTCTTTGCAGGTTCTAGCTGGACATCAGATTCTTCTGACTGTAATATTATAATGCTTGCCTCTATTTTCTTTTTCCTCCTCAGTACCAAATTTTTATTTCTGCTTACTTTTGATACGAGACTTATGAATAACCAGTTGTGTTCCTGCCTTCAGTTGTTGATGCAAGATAGATGGCTACATCTCTCTCCACTCAGCCTGAAGTACCTCACAAGCCTAAAATAACATTTGTTTTAATGGTTGTATTCAAGAAACTGAAGAAGGAAGAATTTGTGTATAGTGCCTAAAAATATTTCTGTCAGTAATAACCTGAAAGTGAGTAGGAAGGAATATGTAGTTTGGAAATATGTAATTTCTAATCTGTATTCCTTCTCTTATATACATTATCTGCTGTATGGAAAAAAAAAAAATACAAAGGAGACAAAACCAAACCCTGAAAAACTCCCTGTGGAAACTGGAACAGTTGCTTCTCTTTTCTGGCTAGCTGTCACACTGGGAGGGCAGGACAGGTTCTGTTGGATGCTCCCTAGCAAAGGAGTGGAAGAATAAAACCCAAAATAGCTGTGGTGAGTCCCATGGGATGCCATAGGAATGAACACAGGGTAACAAGGCACAGAAAATGTATGGGCTAGATAAGGATCTGATGGTGCATTGTCCTTCCATGCAGAAATTTGGGTGTAATTTTTGACCAAATTGAAAAGCTGCTTCACTATTCAGTATAATCTGTAGGCTTAAGGGAGGCCCAGCACTGGAGCAGCATGTGTTTAGAGGATTTGGATCAAGGTAGATTGGCATGGAGTAATAATAAACTTATGTCAATGTCAGAGGTGCAATATTACTTAATATTTCTTTCTTTTAGAACCTTTGGCACCACTGTTCCATTTTAGTGCCAGTAAAGTTGGGTATGCTGTTTTAATAGCCTTGTTTAACCTGGCAAAGCTAGTCTTACACCTCATATCTGTCAGTTTAGCATGCAGAGGGGCAGACCTCAGAAATCTTTATGTATTTCTTACCAGAACATTCCAGTTCTATGAATGTGGCCGAGTTGTAGGCTGGAGGGCAAAAGTGCTGAGCTGGATGATGTCCCTTTTTGCTCCCAAATTTCGCCTTCTGTGCAGTAGGTAGAAGTGGAGTGTTCCGTCCTCTAGGAATCTACAGGTACTTAAAAACTCCAATTATATCCTCTGAAGAAGGAGTCTGACTGATGAAAACAGTAGCTGTTGAGACAAGAGCAGTGTACAGGACGTAGACCTGGATCATATTAGGACAACAGCTTGTGGAAATTCTTTTGTAGGGACTATCATAAAAGAACACCGGCTAAAGGGGGCTAATATAATATTCTACCTTGACTTGCTACATAACTTTTCATGTAAAATGTTACAGTTTCCATCTTTAATAGTTTAAACTTTGTGATTGATGAAGTGCTACATGACTAAGGGCCTTAACCTACCAGCTAATTAGCATTTGTAGGAAATGTCATAAAGTCTTCGTTCTCTTGTAATAATTGGAATCTGTACCTGGAGTGGCTGGACTGTGCACTTTAGGTGATATTGTCCAGTTTGTGTTAAATTGTGTTGCACAATTAATTAGATGTATTGCTGTTGGCTGTCTTCTACAAAAGAGGAAATGTACATGTGGTGAGGTTAGGAGTGATTGGTGTAAACAAAGGAGTCCAACTCTTGGGCTGAGAAATTTACATCAGTATTATTGCTTGATGCAGGCTACAAGTAGAATGTGCAAGCACATTGCTGATAGAAGATGCCTTTGGATCTGTTTTTCCCATGGTTTAATCACCTGGGAGCATGTTTTCATTTTCCTGGGGAGGGATCAGGGCATGACAAAGGACATTTTTTATTAACTGTGTCAAATTCTGTCAGAACACTGTAAATAGGCTGTGATGTGAGCTGGTGTTTTGCAATCACAAATCAGAGATCTATTGTATTTCTGGAGCCAGATGGCAAATTCTGAACAAGTTGCTCTGCAAAACAGATCAGTGTTCCGACTGTAGATTTCAGGTGTTAAAAAAAATAAAATTAGGAAGTCTTTCTGGTGTAGCATGAAAATTTTGATGTTATAAAAGTACTTTGGTAGCTATAAACTTATGTATTATTTAAGAATTTAATCTTTAATAGTATATGTCCATTTTAAGAGTACAGTGTTCAGTGTACTGAGTATTAGAAAATTGAACTTTGTTGGCTTCTTAGGCTTGTAGCTTTGCCAAATCATGGTATGTTTATCAGAACAGTCTGAAAGTGAATTTGAACTAAATATAGTCAATAGTTCATCCAGGGTGGTGCTGTTCCTGATCCCAATACATTATCCGAAAAATGTGTCCTCAAGGATTCTGCACAATCAAGTTCAACTTTGGGACTGTTTGGTGAACACAAATCCCCCTGAAGCCTAACCAGAACAGGCTGGGATGCTCTCAGCCTGTACAGAGAGTGAGAACAATGTCAGAGGTAGGGATCATTTTCATTTTCTGTAGCTTAATTTCCCATTCTTTGTAACACATTGTGCTACTAAGTTTTTACAGTTTATAAAAGATCACTAGAAATATGTGACCTAATATACATTCACTTAGGGAAGTCAACCTGAATGTTCATCCAGCCTAGAACATAGTTATGAGTCTAGGTAAATCCTTGTACATTGAAATTCAGGATGATTATAAACTTTTCCAGCCTTTGCTTGAATGGATTGTCCTTTCCAATGAATGTGGAGGCTAGAAGTCCAGAATTTTGTTGTTCTTCCTTCCTCTATTATCCATGACCTGCTTGCTACTGCTGTTCTTTTTCAAGCCTAGCCTGCAAAAGGAGAACAGATGGATTACACACTTCTGCTTACTAGCCTATTTGAAAACAATTTTATTTACCTTTGTGGTAGAAAATCACAAAATTCCTCAAATAGAGTTTCATGAGATTACAAAATTTAAAAACTCTTGTGCAATGGCAGTTCTGTAAACATGGCAATTTTTGAATATCAGGTGTATTGTAAATCATGTACTCTCAAGTAAGAAATATTGACTACAATTGTCTACACTACAAAAATAAGTTATTGTAGATCAAGTTATGCTGGTTGGTTTTGAGAGGATTCCTTGCACGATGAAGAGAATAGGATGAGTGATCCCTCAGTTGTTCATAGCATCCACAAGTGCTCCTAGACACATTGTGTCATCTGCAAAGTGGGACTGAGCTTAATGAGGCACTTACATAAGGATTTCACACTGCTGGTGTGACACCAGCGCTCCTGGGGGGGAAGGAAGCTGCCCTTCAGCTCTGAAATGTCAATACTAATTAACAAAGTTATCTTTAAATAAGATACTAAGTTTTATTCATGCTGAGAAAACAGCCAACTCACATGCTGGGAATGTTAAGCTGTGTGAAGAGTAACATTTCATTTTTAATAGAGTTGGGGGAACTTTAGAAGTGTGAAAGACCTCAGTTATATGTAGTGTGACTGGGCAAAAAGGAAGTAGAAGCTGTCATATTTTGGAGGTTCAGTAGACCATCAAAGGATTATTTAAGGAAATTGATGGCTACCTATTTATTTGAAAAAGAATCAAGGAAAATCAGAATTGTTTAGGATAAAAATACTTTTCTTGGAAGAAATGAGATTTCTTTCCAAAAAATGTAATGGAAGCCTACTGATTGGAATTAAAAATTCTAAGGGAGAGTTTTATAAGTGTAATAAAATAATTTTACATAGAGAGGTATCCTGCTGTCATGACTCACTTAGAATTTTTAGCTGCTGACTGAGGGTGTATTCATGTGATTCCCTGCTCTTGGAACTGCATCTTTGAGTGGCAGCCTGGCTATTTCCCCACTGTCTCAACATGACAGATTCAGCTGGTTTTGTATTTGCCAGCAGTTTAGCACTGAATCCTTGACAACTCATTGAAATGACACAAAATCAGATCCCCCAAGAAGCAGTGCAGGGAATAAAGTATTGCACAAGCCCAAAAGGCTTGTATGTCTGATTACATGCTGATGTTTTTCTTGGAAACTCTTTCAGGGTCCATGCTCCAGGTCGGTAATTTATGGCAGGGAGGAAGGAAGTTGAGTGGCTTCTCACCTTCAGTGACTGACACAGGCATTGATGAGAGGGATTCACAGGGATAAGCAGATCTCAAATCATAATTTTATTAAATGCTCCTTAGGAAATGAAATGAATCAGCTTGTTAATTATGTGCAGTAACTCCCATGAGAAGACAGTTTTAAATCTTAAGTGATGTAGAAATCATACATTTTATGTATGAGAGATAAATTTTTTATAGTCTGATGTGCAAAATATTCAGCAACATAGCGACTGAATAACTTATTAGTCAGGATAACCATCCTAATCCTGAAATAAATAGACCCCACTGCCCTTGTTCACCTACTTGCTAGGATAGGCAGTTACGCTTGATCTGCAGCTTTACCTAATATATATCCAAGTTTGTTATATCTGGAAATGAAAAAGAAACATTTCCTACTAAATATAAAAAGTAGAGTTATGCGTTAGCAGTTGGGTTTTAGCAATTTTTGTAGTACATTAAAACTCTACTCTTCTGTTGGCATAGACTCAACCACCCTAATTTATACATTGCTAGAGCTCCTTGATGCTGGCAGTTGTGCTTTCCTGGTGGTATTCCACTGCTGTCCCTCTGACTGAGAACTCTGGGACTGGAGACTCTTAATACCTCAGTAAATTGGGTATTTAATCACATTTGGAAAAGCATCACCCTTCACCTTTGAGTGAAGCTGTTATTGGCCTTATGAAATCATGAAGTTCAAAGACTCAGGAGTATGCATGCAGATAAGTTTAATGGTAACAATAAATGAGAATTGTTATCTTCATACTTCTCCCTTCGTATTATTGTTACCAGATGTGGCCAGAGCTAGTGGTGCCAATTTGGTCAGATTGCTTTGATAATTTTCTTGTTGCCAAGTAGTATGTATTTCTTGGTGGGAGAATCAGCAGTGGTATGTTTGAATATGAGTAGAATAAGTCCAACTTTAGAATGGAATCTGAATCTAATTCACTTCCTTCTAACACACCTGACTTTAATTTTTAACGCCCAGCCAGGCACAGTGCTAAGATCAAAGTGAAACAAAGAGAAGGGAGTAAAGCAATTCTTGGAAAGTAAAAAAGAAAAATGGCATAACATTGTGTAATCTTTCATGTATGAAAGAAATATTTGGCTTATTTACCATTCACTCAAGAATAAATCTGCAGTAAATTTGCTAAAGGTAATTATGCCAGCACCCCCCCCTTACTTAACAGGGAGAAAAATCAGGCCTGCTATATTTATTGCCTAAGAGATGCCTTAATTTGACAGCAGAAATCTGCATGAATGTCCCCAGAAAGGCACATTGTCCTTTATTGTTCTGTGCTTAACCCCATGCCAAAGTGACTGTACACCATGGGAATCTCTGTACACTGCTCTCTGTAGAACCTTCTGCTGATCTTGAGAGAGAAGCTGCTAAAGGTCCACAGCAATCTGTCAAGTCTTGGTCTTAAACTTGTTAACAGACAGAATTGGGAGGGTGTTAAAGCATAATTTAAATTGGAGTGAAGTACCTGCTGTGTCCTATCCCAAAATCTTCATTCATGGTTAAGTCTGACATTTTTTTCTGGCTGCCATGGGAACCATAAATAGTTTGATTTGAATGTTTATTTAATAAAAATCCATGACTTTTGAGATTCTTTGAATGTTAGGAGGGTACTAAACAGCTGATTAAATGGGAAGAACTTCAAAGTATAAATTAGAATACAGTAATAGAAAACAGGAGTTAGCTAATTGAGTTGCAAAAGAGGTCACCCCTGTAAACTATCCTTGGGAGCTTCTCTTGTGCTAGAATTACAATAATTTCTTGCATGACATTTTGTGTTCCTCAGTTCTCACTGTTTGCACACATTCACTGTTACTGATTTCTACGTACTTCAATTTATGAAATGCAATATAATTCATCCTCTGACTTGAAATTTCTGGATTGCAACTCTTTCCATGAGTCCTTATAAATCCCTTCCTTTGGGGAGGGGGAAGAAGTTGCACCCATGGACAGGCAGCTCTTTTCTGTCTCTGACTGCTCTGTAGCATTGAACTTGTCATGATTCCATCCAAACTGCCAGTGGTATCTCCAGCTGAATGGGAGACCCTGGCAATGGCTCTTGTCAGACTATTGTAGCTTCATCCATATATTGATTAAAAAAATTTAGGCATCAGTGTCCTGGTGAAAACTGATTCAGAGAGAAAAGTATTTCTGTCATAGACTTACTTTATAAAAATTTTCCTTTATTTTTGTGTAGTTGATGGTATTAGAGGGAGGCTAAGTTTCACATACCTCATATCAACCTGCTGGTTTTGAGGAGATACAAGGTAAAGAAAATTAAATCTTTTTTTTTTCTTTTTTTAAAGGACATTTTTCATACCAAAACCAAACTATCTTAAACACAAAACTATATCAGATTACAGATTACTTCCTATTCAGACATTTTCATAGAAGCATTGCTGTCTTACCTTTGCTGCCATAGAGAAACTAAACTGTTCAGCAGATGTTGATTAAAGACATCCAAGTTGCTGCGTTTAACATTTCAGTTTAAGTTTAGTGGTGCTTTGATAGTTTATATGTAGAAAGACTCTGTCTGGCCTGCAGTAAGTAATGGTGAAATTCAATATGTGCATTGTCTTTGGTGCAGCTATAGTGAAAATATTAAATTACATCTCATAGCAACAGGAATCTGAGTTCTCTGATGAACATTTTGAACACTTCAACTCTTAATGGGTCTAAACCTATGTACATTGACCATATGTTAATTTAAAATGATTTAGAAAAGACATCTCTAAATAAGGGGGCAGGGGTCTGTTATCCTTCTGCAAAAGCTTTTCTTTCATGTAAACGCATTCCACTGTCCCTTATATATGAATATAAATGGTTTCTGTAACCAAGGAGCTGAAAGGAAACTTTCCAATTGGAAGAATATTATTATTTCTGATTAATTACTACCTAACCATTTCAGCTTTGCTGCTCTGGGGTTTTTTCCTACTTTTTACCACTGGTACTTCAGGAAACTCATATAAAATGATACCATGTGAAACTGGATTCTCCATTACAACATTTTAAATGGAATTTCTAAGGCCAGGGTGTTCTGAAAGTAGCAATCAACATAGCTTTATTGAATTCCTATATCCATTATTTGTGGTAGTGAGGGGACAGGGCTGTTATTTTTACTTTTAATGTAAAATTTTTTGCTATTAATAATTTTTAAAAATTATTTTAATTTAAAATTGATTTCAATTTATAGGGCATCCCTCCTCCCTAATTTGAGAATTAAGAATTAGTGTGAAGTTCAATATTTTCCTCTGTTGATGACATATTATATTGTTAAGTAGAATATTTTATAAAAAAACTGAAAAATAAGAGAATATGAGAGATCTCAAGAAAATTTTTACAAGTATGGAAAGAGGTATGGAATTAAGGACTAAATAGGATTGAGCAGTTCTAAAGCACCATACTTGCAATGTTTTTTCCCTTCAGGTGTGAAATGTCTGTGATTTACAAGTTTTATGCAATTAATTTATTGTTTCAAATTAGGAGCAGTTCATTTATCTGAAAGTTTCTCAGTTAATGAAAGTATCCTGGGATTTCCCTGTGTTCTGAAACAATCAAGTAGAACATTATCAACATTATCTGTTGAGTGAATTATCTGTCTGTACTTTTGAAGTCTCTGAACCAAATATGTTTGAAATTGTCACACAGTTCTGTGTTAAAGGGATGTTGTGAAACTCCTCATATAAGGAGATATAAATTATGGTTATAATGTAATTTATGGCCAGGTCTTCTGAAAAAGAATTGTGGCATGTTGCAATTAAGCTTTTGCTATTTTTAGAATTGTGTATGATCTGAATTACACTGTCCTTTGGAACAGTGTGATGATATTTGAATATGCATTTATTTTGCTTTTGTCTAGACTCTTGTATCTTTTATAGCTTTGCATTGGAATAAAAATTACAGGAGTTGTTCAAATGGGAAATGTATTGAGTTTCAAATTCAAACCTTACAAAGCATGTTAAATATCTCTTTAAATTTTCCAGGAAAGGAAATAAAGGTATTCTTTTCTTTCACTCAGACTGGTGATTTAAGAGTAACCTTACGCCATCAATAGAAATATATAGTGGTGTTAGTAAAAATAAAACAGATATTTTGAAAGTATTATAGTGCACATGTGCATAAGCTAAAATATGAAAAATAGGCAAGAAAAACTGGGATACTGCACATTATGATACAGTTTAAAATTGGTGTCAATTCCTTAACTGGATTGCTTACATCAGTATATGGTATTTCAGTGGAGCAATGGCTTTATAGATTTGAAATATTTTATTATAAATCATAACTCTGGATTGAATATGAAAAAAAATCCAAGAGAGCAAAATACAAGTCAAAAAATATTTTAGGTATTAAAAAAACTATTGAAGTTGATTGAATTGAAGAGTGTTCAAAAAGAATAAAAACTGCAGTGGGATTTATTTGGAGTGAGAAGGCAGACTTTTATCTCAGATACCACTTTATTCGGAATTTTCATTTAGAAAATATTCTTCAGTGTTTCAATTAGGGAAAAATACCTCAACCACATTTGAATGCAGATGAAGAAAAGCAGATGATGACTAGCCCAAAAAGAAATTTGGAGTGTTAATGCCAGGAGGCTGAAGGTAGTGAGTGATTAATACAGTTTTGAAAAGTATTTCAAAAGGGATGTGGTAGTGAAAATTGCCAATATTCTGTCTGCAGAAATAATTGGTAGTGGAGCAAACGATGATAACTGCTCTCTAAATGACTTTTGTGTCATCCCACCTGAAAAACCATGTGTGGTTTCAGACATCTCGTGGTCAGAAGAAGGATGGAAATGTGAAAGTGTCAGACAAGAAGAATGGTTAGAAACCTGTTGGGTTTGAGTATCTGTCTAAAGTCAGGAGAGCTTAGTTTTTTATTTTAACATTCTGAAGGTATAAATATCACAAATGAGAATAAATTATTTTGGACAGTGTAAATCTTAGAATATGAGTAGCATGAAATCAGATTGACAAGGTCATCTATTAAGTGATTGGATAGCCTTCAAATGGGAAAGGAAATTCAATTATCATAGGTTTTTCATTGCTGGCTTACATAGGCAGTCCTGGAAAGGATCTTAGGGTATTATAGTATGTTCCACTGCCCACAAGCAGGATTTGAAGGAGATTCTTACAGTGAATGAAAACATTGCTTTTTCTCTAGGGATGAAGTCAGGCTTCGAGCTTTTCCACATCACAACCTGCTCAAACTTTTCACTTTGAAATGAAGCAGTTTGTAAGGTTTCTGTCTTTTATTCAGAACTCAAGGTTATGGCTCTTTTTTGTAATGGAAATCTTTTTTTCAGGATGTCTCTCTGTTTTCCTATCTTAATAATTTTCTGAAGGATATAAAATGACTATATTGCTCTTTATAACATGTTATTAAAAGAAATATTAAGGTGAAATAATTGAAATTAAAAGTAAGGCAATATGCCTCTTAGTGCTTTTTTTGTAATACTTTGCATATCCAACCTAAATCTGCTTTCAGAACAGGCTGGACATTTATTTCACAGCTTATGTTGTTTTTCCTTTTCTATGCATATATTTCCCTTTATATATTTCTGTATTTTGAAGCACAGCACACAACAAACACCTTTTGTTACTCCCTGTTCTTGTCCAGCCTTTTGCTTTCTGTGTTCATTGCCCTGGAAAACTTCCTAAGCTACTGTCGAACTGGCTCCTACTCTCTTTTTGCAGCCTCTTGAGGTGCCTATTCTTACTCTATTTCTTTTGTATCTTCCCTTTTCAGTGTTCCCTGCTGCCCAACACTTGTCTGTACAACTTGTCAGCCACCTCTCTCTTCTCACCATCTGTTAACTTTTTTATGAGATGTGCTGTTACTTTTCAATCTGGCCAGAGGCCCCCAAGTCTTCCCAACTGATACAGACATAGTAGGAATGACAAGATACACACTAAAAATCACATTCAACTTCAATGATCTGTATTAAAAGCATTAAAATGCCAAAGCAGTGGGGGTTTTTCTCCCTCCATGTGAATTTACATTACAGTATATTAAACTAGATGTCATTCTCTCACTGGCATATGACATAGTGTAATAGTTTCTCATGCAAAATCTCTTTAAAAATTTTTTGTATAAGCCAACATAACCTATTTTATAGGCATGTACACCAAATAGTACAAAACTGGGCATGAGTAAAATATCACCAGATGTTTTCAAGCACCAAAAAGGTAGTATTGAGCAGAAAGGTATGATTTTTCATGGTTAACTTTGACAAGTAGATCATGTGCTCTCAATGTGCAAATTGGGCTAGACTTCAAAAACATTTCAGTAATCAGCCTGTAACTCAAAATACTGTGAGATGTAGGTACCCAACCAACCCAGCTTGAAAATCTGGCCCTCATCTATACAGACAGACATTATAAGAAGCATTAGCTTGTTAAGAATGAATGTCTGCCTCCTCTTGTCATAAATGGAATTATGTGTTAGTCTATTTTGTATTTCTGTATTTACTATCTGGAAAATGCCTATTGCATTCTGAATTACAGCACAGTAAATACATATAATGAGAGCAAAAGCTTTTCAATGCACGTCTCACAAGATTGTGAGTCCTGCTTAGGAGAGTCCAAGAGTCAGGCTGTTTTGTTCAGAGAATTTATTGGCCCCTGAGGAGAAGGAGACAGAGACTGAGTATTTCCAGATACACAAGTGGATATTATCAGCCCAGGCTTCTTTTGGCTAGCTTCCTGGTGAAGGTTAATTTTAGCATTAAGTTCCAGCTCTTTCTCAGCTGGAGTCTGGCAACAGAAGCCAAGCGTTCAGTCCAGGAGCTCCTTTCTGTGTGACAGCCTTCTCCTCTCTTGGCTCGTTTGCCCACTGACCTGCTTTTATAGCCCTGTAAAACTATCAGCTGGCTTGAGGGCAGAGCTCTTCCCTAAGCAGCCCCGGGGGAGTTTTCTTCTGCTGTCTGTATGAAAACTCAGCGCACACCTCTTCTTTCTTAATGCTTCTTGATTCCTCTGAGTCCTTCCTGTACCTGTACCTTTGGATCCTGTATTATGGAAGGATCTAGAATCTTACAGTAAGTAAAAATGGATGAACTATTTCCTTCAGTGACTGCACAATAAAACATACATACATGCTTGTTTTGGAAGAAGAAGAAAAGATACTTATCACTTTTGATCTCCAATTTTAGTTGCATTTGCTTCTATTTATGGATGCAATAGGATACTCTCAATTTCTGTGTGTACATGAGACAGTAGACTGATGTTTCCAATCATGGAATAAAGAGAATTTTTTAAAGTCACATATAACAGGTACTGACCAGAGAATATTACTGCATATGCCAGTAAATAACATACATTTTTCCCTACTGACGAAGAGTTCATAGGTTCTTTTACTTCTTTATATATTTTATTTTTCCACTCTTCAAAATTATTTTCTATTTAGGTAAACTTCAAATCCTATTGGATTTTTTAATATGCTGTAATAGTACTTTATGCTTCTGTACTGTGCTCTTTTCCCTCTAATCCTCAGTTGATGGATTTAACAAATCGAATCATACGTAAGAAATAATGACGTGGGAAATACTTGTGCATGATATGAGCAGATCTTTGGATTCTACCACAGACTTGCTTTCCTTACCATACTCTGGGAAAGTTTAATTACTGTGTAGCAGCTGTTCAGAAGCTTGATATCAATTTCATGTCTTCATTAATATAATTTTTTTGTATTTGCAGCTTTACGACTATAATGTGGTGGATGTGTTGAGTAGACTATCAAATGGATGGATAGTCAGAGTGAACATATGGGACTAAACTGTTTATAGCAAGGATGTCTTCTAGATCTTAAAATATTCCTTTATTCCTAAACTGCTTACTCCTTAGGACAGAGATTTGTTGTAAGAAAATGTGACATTTTTAGTAAGATACACTATAAAAGCAACTCTTAGTGCTGCTCAGGTGGCAGAACCCCACAGCTGTGATTCTGCTGTCAGTGGTAATTGCTTCATCATACTTCATCATTTTATACCATTCCCTTCTTTTTGACTGTTCTATTTTCTTCAATTCTGTGTAAATTCCCATTTCCACATATCAGCATCTGTGTATACTTGCTTTTTTTTTTGCCTTGTATTTTCTCTAGATTAGGTTGCTACTACAGCTTCAATGTTCAGTTAAACACCAGTTGGAATTTGAAGCCTTCTTTTGCTTAAACACTGTTAAAGTTAAAACTAGCATCCTCCTGGTCCAAAGCACTTGCTGCTTTTTTAGAGACAAATTGCATGTAAAAATCAGCAACTTCAAATGAAGGAAAAAGGAAGATGGTGGTTCTGAATTGAATAAAATGGACATCATCATGTGGTTGATAATGTAAATGAATATATAGAATATAATGGTTTACATATAAATAATATAGATGTAAAAATAATGATCAACCATAAAAATAAGTTTCCAAACTCCAGCATTAATCTGATCAGCTGTGTGATCCTAACAGCAAAAATATGAGTTTAAAGAAGTAGAAAATGGATTGTATTGGACTGCTGTAACTTAGGGGGAAACAGTGCCAGTGTACACCAGGAAAAATGCTCCAATTACCTTTTTTTTTGTTGTTGTGGTTTCCTATTCTGTTCTTATGTATATTTCTGTTTTTTAAGCTTGTCAAGTAGAGCAAGATTCTGAAGGATTGGTTTCTTCCTGCTCAGATTAGGCTGGGAAGGTGGCAGTGGGGTGATTGCCAGCTCAGGGCTCTGCTCTATCCCCTTGTCATCAGGTTGATGTGGGGGCTGATGTCTGCAGCAGTGCTTGCTCCTTTGTGACAGTCACTTTGCAGCTGCACTGTGCCACTTTGAAGTGTCCTCCTGAAGGCAGCTTGAGGCAAAGTCTTCAGATTGATCTGCAGATCCATCACTTTGTGTGGAAACCTTGCAGACCTACTGAACTGCAGACTGCTTTCTCCTTGGGCATGTGGCATATCCATAGCTGGAGATGTTTTACATAACCTAAAGGGCTATGTAATATTTATGAACAGCTTTAAAAAGACCTTTCCTGTCTCTGATTCTGATTTAGTAATCCAGTAGGGCTGAGCTGCCCACGTGTTCTGGGCCATCTAGAACCTCTGATGTTGAAGGAAACCTCATGGGGAAAAATAATACAAGAATGCAGAGCTAAAAAGTACTATTGAACAATGATCACTATTGTAATCTGAAGTAAGTAAAATGCTGCTGTATTACATCAATTTGGAAAATATAAATTTGCAAGGTAGTAACAGGAGGGCACTTTGGAAATAGCTTAAATTGAGAACATTCTGCACAATAAGCAGCTATCAGGAAGAAGTGTTATTCTTTTGAGACATAATCAAGGACTCTAGTGGATATTGGATCTGCTTATGGAATCCAAGAGTATTTTATCATGTCATTATAAGATTAACAGACTTTTTTTCCAGTTACATTAGTCAAGCAAAAGATTAGTACAAATCTTGCACTTTAATGAACATAATCAGCTGCAAGAAGCAGCCCCCTATTTTATAATATTTGAAGTTTTATATTATAGGACAATTTTTTAGCATATTTATTTTGATTTTTGGAATCTAAAAGGATGTGATGGTTAATGCTTCTCCATCTATCTACTTAAAAGGAAGAAAAACAAAGTGAAAGTTACTGGCACTGGTTGAGGAAGCACTTCTGGGGCAATCTCAAGTCCAAAGGCAATCTGCAATGTCAAACTGTTGGAGCAGAAGTCTTTTATTATCATTTTATTATTGGAAATTCTCCTTAAAATAAAAACTGCATTTAGGTGATATTGTGACTCTAAGGAAAATTTCCCTTCACTCCAAATAGCTGCTGTAAAGCCTGTTGATTTTCAAATATTTTGGCTGATATAATATTTAGTAACTGTACACCATTTTGTAAAAAGAAATTCTTGCTAAAAATCAATTGTGCTCTCCACAAACAATACCTCTATTAAGTCTACTAGTACTACTCAAGTAGTAATATTTTTACAGTCATGACAGGGTAAAGTAATTTCATTTTTTCCAGCTGTTTCATTACAAATTAAGCATGCACATGTCCACACATGCCAAAAAGAGATGTTGGGATGTCTGTAGACATCTATTTTGCTGAGTCACTAACAAAGCTGGTTTCATGTTCTGGGACATCCTGAGATGTCTATAAGTACCATATATGAGCCAGAACATTTACCATGAGTCTTACTAATAAAAATAAATTATGTGTAAGTAGCCATTTAGTTTTGTGTTTGAACTGGTTTTTTTTGTTTTGATTAATAGTTACATTACTTTTGTCTTTTGTTATCTATGTCTATAAGGCAGAAGCTAAAGTCTGAAAAGGAATACTGAGTTTTAAAGTAGTCATAGATAATGCTCATGTTGGAGGAATGCTGCTTATTAAATTGCTTTTCCTTGTAATAAGCTTGTTTCAAGTAGACTGTAATAGTACTTGGAAAATTGTTTAGTAGGATTTACTTTCTTAAAATACAAAGACCTTTTTTTTTGTAAGTAATGCAAATGATACATACAAAGGTTCTGTTTTCTCACCTAGGCTTCAATTTTTAATTTATATAAAACTAAACTTATGCTACTGACCTACTTCACTGGAATTGACATGGTCTGCACTTCATTATGAAACAAATCTCGAAGACTTCTGCCTACAGAAATTTAGAATAGAGCAAAATGAACTTTTGGAGTAAAAAACCCCACTGTTACAAAATACTAATCATCTGAGTTATTTAAAATTCAAATACAGAGCAGAGAGGGAAATATTTTTAGCTAAGTTTAAATATAAAGATTCATGGTTTCATTAGCTAGGCCCAAGAAGTCTTAGGTTATTTTTCTCTTACAGATTCTTAAATTCTCTTATACTTTAATGCATATCTCTGAAGGCAAATTGTTACAGCATGGAACACTATTTTTGATTGTGTAATTTTCTTGCTAGTTCCATAGTTCAGTACCTTAATTTTGACAATGAAAGGAATTTTCTTTTGAGAACTTGGGTTACTGGAGAATTTTAAAGCCTGTCTGCAGGTGAGATTTAATTTAATCCCTTGGGTATTTAATAAGCATTCCTAAAACTGTTGCCAAAAGGTGACAAGATTAGCACTTGAGGTTTATTGACAGGATGCCTCATAGGAAAGACATTTATCTGTAAGGGTGTTGTTTTAAAAGAAGGAATAAAGTCTGGGTTAAGCCCTGGGAAAATACTTTCTGAAATACAGAAGGAATAGAGCAGTTTCTTTTCATCCTGACACAGGGACATAGCAGTTTACAGAGGTAAGAAATAGATGTTGAAAAAATGTCACAGTAACTAACTACCTATCAGAAAAGAAATATAAGTACTTTAGGATTAAGAAGGTCTTAACAGTCCCTGCCATAAATTGAATTCAGGCATGCTCAAAAATCATTATTCAATAACAGAATTGTATCCTTACATGGATGCTTGTACCCAAATAAATATGTGTGATGGAGAATGGCAGAGGTTACCAGATGGTTTGCCGTTCTTTCTGGATTTAAAACAACTCAGGAAGAAAAAAATATACCTTGTGTTCCATGATTTTAGCATGTGAGACCTTTCAACCTTCTTGTCTCCTGTAATCTTGTTGAGAGAACTCTGTGATTAACTGGTCATAAACTCTTGTCTACATCAGTAGGTCTTTGCTAATCCTGTGCCCATCCCAACAAACAAATACTCTGTGGTGCTGATTCTACTTTTGCATATCCCAGTGTGGTCCTGTTCCCATCAAAGTATTTCCTTCAGGTTTATATAGCACAAATAGAAGAATAATTAGATCCTTTCCTCTTATTTTATCTATGAGTATGTATTGAGTGACTTATTTTAAAGCAGTTGTGATTCAATGGGGATGTTTTTAATTTGCTGCCTGTTCTCTTTTACCTCTGAGGAAAGAATTTTGTAAATGCTGAATAATTTTAGAACATGCTTTCTTGGTTAAGGGTTGGCTCATATTTTCAATTAGTTTTAAGAGGAAGGAAATCGTGTAAATGCTGTGGAATTCAGATAAGCACTGTGCATAGGAAATAAGTACTTTAATTTAGGGTGCCTAGAATTGGTAGGTCAAGCTGATGATAGTAAAGGACCAGATCTTAACTTTGTTTCAAAGAACATGTAATCAATATTCACTCTCCTGTTTTATTTCCCTTTTACTTGAGGATTTGTTTTGGTGAAGCTGAAATGTGCAATTGCTTAAGTATTCCACAGGGTGTCATGAGGTAGTTGTTGGAATCACTAATACTTGGATGAAGTAAAGAAAGAAACATAGTGTGCAGTCCTCTGAATGCCAGTTAATGTAATTTTAGATGTGACTAATACACATGCCATAAAATAAAAGTTCTTAACTCATTAACACGTGTATCATGTTTCTGTATCTGTATAAAATATACACACGAAGAAAAATATTGCAAGAGGTCATTCACAAGAGTAAGCTATTCTATGTCAGGTCTTCCCAAAAAGACCTTTCTATATATTCCTTAGTATTTTATAGTTTACACAGCAAGTGGAATCTTTGGCTCATAGCAGTAATCTGATATACCAAACTATGTATATATAAAAAAAAAAAAAAGGGAAAAGAAAAAATGGTACAAGACTTGTATTTGCCATACTATAAAGAATTTCTAATTGAATTGTGCTCATCCAAATTCACTTTCAAAATTTATTTTATATTTAAATTCTTTTAAGAATGAATTTTTTAAAACCACACTTTATACAGTGCACACAGCTGTACTGTGGATTTTATGACTTGTTAATTGTGGATATATATGATGTCAAAACTTCAGGATTTTTTCTCCCGCACTTGTATAATGTAGTAGGAGGAGAATTTTTACCAAGGTGTGCCCCAAATTAAAGTGTATTTGATTATGGTGGTATGTTCTAGCATGTGGAGATCAAATTTTTATTGACATAACTGTTGACTTCTGCAGAGTTGCACATGCATTCAACTCCAGGTTTGTAAAGAAATCTTTAAAGTAACTGTAAAAGCTGCTTCTGTTAAAATATGAATTCCTTTAAATGGAAAGATATTGACTATGTGAAAATCAAAATAATTACATTATAAAATGAACAGGCAAACTGAATTCATTTCAGTAGCAAGAGAATGTGATCCAAAGTGAAAAATCTCTGATGAAAGTAAAAATTCGAATATCTGTTGACAGTAATAATTTGTCTAACGTTGACAATGTATTTAAAACCAGTTTTGAACAAATGATACTTCATGGATTTTGGCATATTTTTTTATATTATCTAAAGTGGCATACTAAAATAACAGACCAGTTAATTTTCTTGTTACTATTTATTTATACGAAGTCTTAAGTAACAAATCTTGGGTTTGTGCCAGTTTGTGCATAATATTGAGTGGCACTGAGAGCCCAGGCTGGAGGGAGGGGAGTTCTTCCGACAGACAGTTAATGAAGTTTTGCACATCTGACGTAGCACACATCCCCCTGCATTCTGCCCAGAGGCCACGTTCTGCCTTACAGCCACAGAAGGGGATTGCCCTGACAATCAGCAGCTGAGTGCTTTTATTCACATTTGCTTCCAAAATCCACATTGCTCTGTGGTCAACTTTTGGTGGAAAACCTTTGTGATTTAACTCTTCCTGATTTAACGTTTATAAATCATGACAGTGTGCTTATAGGTACTTTAGCAATATGGTCAAATAGTTTCTAGATGAGGAACCAGATTTATTTAAAGAAGTTAAAATATCCAAAATAGAATAACATACTTTAAATGTTCCTAGAGGTGAAGGAGGTGAACGGAAGTGCTGTCCCATGAGATTTTTTTTTTGTTTGGTTGTTTGTGGGTTTGGCCTGTTTAAGAATAAACATCCTTATCTCTGCCCAGCTGAGTTTTCTTTACAGTAGGGCATCATGGAAGAAGAGATTTGTAGATAGGCAGGTTATAATATTCTTCCTCATTTTAAGGCTCACTTAACTTGCTTTGCCTCACCCTTTCTTTGTCCTTCTCATTGAACTAGAATAAGGGTTAATTCCAGACATACTTTGAATTACTGAGATAATGTAGTACCTTAAACTAGAGTGATTAATATCAGGAAATATTTGAATAATAAAATACCTGACCACACTGAGATTCTTTTCCTTTATTTTATTAGAAAATTATACTTCTTCAGCAAAAGAAAACAAAATAGAAAAGAATGAAGTCTAACACTGTTGATGATACAGCAGCTCCAAGCCTGGCAGCATACTGGGGCACGTGTACCATATGTGTGATGTGTATGCACTCAGCACCCAAGTTCCTCTTGGAATGTTATGACAAGGTTGATGACTATTGTGGTGTTTTTATTTACAGATTGAAAATCTACAGGAGCAACTTAGGGACAAAGACAAACAGTTAACAAATCTGAAAGACAGAGTGAAGTCGCTGCAGACGGATTCCAGTAATACAGACACAGCACTTGCAACCTTAGAGGAAGCTCTATCAGAAAAGGTAACGTTTTCTCATGAAAAGCTTTATGTGCTGTTCTTGGGGGTGAAGTGTGTGCAGAAAATGTCCTTCTAAGTCAGCCTGACAGCTCTCCCAAAGGCTATGGGCCTTTTCAGGGAAGCAGTGGCCCTGTTCTGGTAGGATGAGCAGGGTATGACTGCCGGGGGTGAACTGAGACAGGACTTGGAGGGGAAGGAGTGATGTGCTTTGAATGCTCATGGAGAAAATGGCCCAGGACATGGGAACATTCTGCCTAAATCCAGAAGGTGAGTGGTTATTCCCTGAAAGAACTGAAAGGTGTCAGACACCTGATTTAAAGAAGGTAGAGTTTTGGACATTTCTGGCATTTGGCAATTACTATGAGTGTTATTGGCTTCCTATGTTTCATTTTTAAAGGAAACTGTTTCATAAAAAAAAAAAAAATTCCTTTCTCTTTTTTTCCCCTTTATAAACTCTATACCTTTAATTTGAAAATACCTAGGAGAAGGGATAAATCTAGACTGTTTAAATTGGAGGCAACATTCCTACCAGTTTCAGTGAGGTCAGGTTTCTTCTTTCAGTTGACTTTGAATACGAAGTAATGCAAGTGAATTTATATGCCCAAAAAATTAGTACAAATATCCACATTTGGCAGGTCACAGATCTTAATATATACTACTTAAATGTGAACAGGTGAGTGTGACTAATTAAAGTTACATGTGCCATTCTGCAGTGTGTAGTCCTATGAAGGTATTTATGACTGTACATGACTTGAAAATGCTGCTGTGGTGTTGGCACTGACACATAAAATGTTAATATCAGATGTTTTTTATTTCTTCTGTGTTTAATTGCTTTCCTAGCATTTGCTTGGTCAACAACAGTGAAAAAAGTTGTCATTAGTATTGATTCATGTAGATAAGCATTTACTTATACAGTAAAATTACATATTTCTCTAATCTTTCACTGCTAATCTGGATATCTGATAATCTGTTCATCAATTTCACAACATATTAATAAAAAAATGACAGAAAGTACTTTTTAATCTGTTTTCATTCCTTGTAAACTGTCTTTTCTGGATTATTCACTTTCCCAAAATGGCCACAGAGGCAGCTGAGGGGTTTTTAAAACAGTCCTTTTGGAAGCAGAGGGGCTGCCACAGTGGGGACTTGCATTGGAGTAGGAGGCAAGCAACACTGTGGAGTTAGGATTCAGACTAGCTTTTGAAAAATGGGGGGCTTGATCTGAGAGCATGAGATGCAATGAGGAGAAAATTTCCAAGGTAAAGGCATCTCTCTGTATGATTCTGATTGCTTGTTGAGCAGGGAAAGGCCACACTTGGAAGGGCAGATTTTTTTGAAGTCAAGTGTGATTTCTGGGATGCACTTACACATTGAAAGAAGCCAGTAGCCATCTTCTAGGAATTCCAAATGGACAATTACGCCTGGCTTTCTTCTGTCTTCTGGCAGCTAAATAGTTTGACAGTGTATGTTTACACATGTGCCTCATTCCTTTCTGTGTCCAGCTTCCCAGTTCCTCCTAACTGCTCTCAGTAACTTTCTTATCCCTATTCCCCTCTGCATTCGTAAGACCTACAGATTTCATCAGTAGTTATTAAATGTTCCCACTGGGAATACTGGCAGAAATGTGGAATAGAGGTTTGTCCAAATGGAACAAAACAGGAACCCTTAGTGAGTTTTTGCTTAACAAGTGCATCAAATAAGTACTTTTAGCAATTCAAAATGCAGTGCTGTCAGGAAAGGATGATGCTTTTGTTTAAGAAGACCTGATTTTCATTTCCATGGAAATGCATTGTTTGCGTGCTTTGTTTTTCTTTCTAGAAATTGTACCAGACCAGATATATTTTGTTTATACTCTGTGATTAGTCTGCTTTTTGTATTATATTGATTCTTTGTCCATTCAACAGATTTTAGAATTTTATTTTAAAAATAATGAATAAAATTCTTCAAGGACATCATGGGAAGCTCTTTTAAAATAGAAATAAAATTTATCTATACTAGTTTAACTAACCAAAATTTACCAAATTGGAATCTGATTGAATTGATTTTTTTAGCTTCTATAGGAAGAAAAACAAATTAACACATGATCATATATTAATGAATTATAAAGCTATTTTTAAGTCTAAAACTCAAATGTTTTCCTGCATTTTTCTTGAAAATACACAGATTAAGATTTTGGCTCTTAATTAGAAAACATGTCTCCTTATTCTTTATGAAAATAGATTTTTCCAAATATCTCTTTCTTGATTTTCTTTCACATTTAGTGATTAGGTATCTTGGGAACACTAGATGAGAAATTAATGTAGACATCATAAAACAATGCCAAATTTTCCTTCTTTTAATCTTAGTATTTTTCTGATGGTATTGCTGGTGTGATTTTTCCTCTTGTCAGGAATCAGAAACAAATCAACTTCATTTGCATTTGAGTTAATTTTGCAATTGAGTTGCAAAATATATTAATTCAACTATTTATCCCTAGTTTTAGAGTCTCTCCTAAGCACTGAAAACTTGTAACAACAACAACAACAAGGATTACATTGCATTTAAAAAAGAAAAAAAAGAAGTTTGAAAATCAGACTATGCAAAAGTGCCTATCAGCTGCCTTGATGTTATAACAAGAAACTTTTCAAAGAATATCTCAGCTCTTGGACTGGCCCAAAGCAGCTCAAGAGGTTGCTTTCATGAAGCTGATATTTATAAAGTTGGTCCTACTGTAGCAGCATACAGCAGATAAGCAATGGAGTATGTCTGATAATGGAGCTATATGCTGGGGCAATTCAGTTCCTGCTTCTGTGATAAAGTGCAAATAGATTAGACCTGTGAGGTCCCAGATTAGTGCACAAGGAAAGCTGGCCAATGCAAATAAGACTGAAACAAGAACACATTGTTGGGATTTCTGCAAGTTAGCTGTTAATCAAGTAAAACATGGTATATTAGGGCCTTTTAACACGTTTTTGACATTTAGCCTTATGCAGCTGACAGATAAATTAGTCTTCTTTTGTGATTGACTGAGAAAAAAAATATACTGTTCATTAAAAAGATGAAATAGTGTTACATTTAATTTGTTATAGATGAAAAAATCCTTTTGGTAAATAAATCCTCAAGAAGGAATTGGTATAAAACTAATTCTGAATATAACCAGGTGGAATCCGAATGTTCATGATTATATATTCTAATTTATGGAGGGTGGCCTCTTACTATTTATATTCAAAGTGTTAAGAATTTATATTGTTTGTTATTAGGAATAAACCTGAAGTTATTTAGTGTCACAAGTTTAGGTTGGGAGGATGTTAAAGATCATCACCTAGTTCAAACCCCCTTGCTGTGGGCAGGGACACCTTCCATTAGACCAGGTTGTTGCAGCCCTTAGACCTTCCTGGCCCTCTCCAGCACATCTGTGTCCTTGTGTTGGGGCCCCGGAGCTGGAAGCAGTTCTTCCCCAGGTGGGGGTCAGCAGGGCAGGACAGAGCTGCAGTCACCTCCCCTGACCTGCTGGCCACACTGCTTGGTGGTTTTCTGGGCTGTGAGTGCTCATGGCTGAGTGATGTTGCGCTTTCTGTCACTGTGCACAGCCAAGTTCCTCCTCTCTGGGCTGCTTTGCTTTCTGCTGAGCCTGGGATTGCCCTGACCCAGGTGCAGGAGCCAAATGATGTTGCTTCTACTGCCCCCCTGACTGCCACCACCCAAATGATACCAGTAGTGCTCTGATACTCTGCTTAAAGACCTGCTTCCAACTGAAATACAATTCTAGTGCTTATTTCATTGTACACTAAGTATTTCTCTCTGCTTGGCATTTGCATCCTTCAAGTACTGATGAAATGTGATTTTGTAGAACATAATCAGAGCTTAACAAAACCATACTACTGTGTCTGTTTTACCCCTTGAATTAATCACCCAATCAATTCAACAAAGCTTGAAATAGTTATTGGAAATCATCGAAATATGCAAAAACATGGTTGAGTTTAGATGTCTGTAGGGTTACTACTAATTAGACAGAAATAAAGCTTCCTTTACATTTTAAAGTTTGTATCAGGGTACTTTTTCTGTGTCTGGGACATCTTTTTTTTAACATCTCAGAGGAAACTGTCCATGGCTTGTTTTGAATTTTTATTCAAGATTTCAATCACTTATGAATACAGGAAATGCATTATTGAAGGGAATATCTTTCTACATCTGTCACAAAACTAAACATAGTCATATCTGTATATGTCTTTAATGAAGTTCCTGTAATGTACTTTTATCAAGTATTTAAAACCTTGATCTTACAATTTTGAAATCTTGCATTGACTTTAATACCATTAACTTAATTATCCTCTGCTTCTGAAGGTTTTTTTTTAATAAATGCTATATAATGCAAACAAATTTAATTATGTATTTTCTTAAAATGATTCTGAACTTTTCTGTTATGCAATTCTTTCCCTTGTTAGGAAAGAATAATAGAGCGTCTGAAGGAGCAAAGGGATCGAGATGACAGAGAAAGACTTGAAGAAATTGAATCTTATAAAAAAGAAAACAAGGACCTGAAGGAGAAAGTTAATGCTTTACAAGCTGAACTGACAGAAAAAGAGGTCAGTCTTTTCTTGAAAACTCTGCTCTTCTATCTATGTCATTATGATGAAAGAAAGTGCATTAGGATTACTCTTGAATTGTGTCAAGTACTGAAATTCTGCCACTTCAGCTGTGTTCAGCTTCAGAACTGCTGTTTTCTTAAGCATTCTTCACAGTCCTCATTTGTACATAAAATATTGCTTCAGTTTTTACATAGTTGTGCCTCATAATCTCTACTTTGTTCTTTACCTAAGCTTCCACTAGGCTCAAATATTCCATTACTGCTCCTGTTTTCTTTTGTCAGTTAGAGAAATGGTTTTCAGTGTGTTTGTACCTCCAGAATATGACTCGAGCTTGTCTGTATGATGAATGTTTCTGTGTTTCACTGCATGCCAGCTGCTGTGGTTCAGCTGTATGCACAAAATGGTGTCTTTTGCTATCAATGCTTATCTTTGAGTCAACTCTGTTTTGGGGGAGGGGGAACAGGATCCAAGTGATTGCTAAGTTGGCAATGAGTTAGTGTCCTGGTGACTAGGAATTAACTTTTTACTCTTGGTCATTTTCCAGTCTAGTTTAATCGATCTCAAAGAACATGCATCTTCATTGGCATCAGCAGGGCTGAAAAGAGACTCCAAACTTAAGTCTTTAGAAATAGCCATAGAACAAAAGAAGGAAGAGTGTAGTAAGTTGGAAGCACAGTTGAAAAAGGTAAGTTTATCTTCAAACAAACAAACAATCAGCAAAACAAAAAATCAGCATCCCATACCCTCATTTTGAAATGATGAGCTTATTTACTCTTCTGGAGTAAATCTAGAATCTACCCATCTTATGCTGTTTGCTGATGCTTGCATCAAATACTGCTTTTTCTCTAGAGGTTTGTACCAAAGCCACTAGTGAGCCTCAGAAATTGTCCTGAGTACCTCTATGAGGGAATTCTGAGAAGCTGCAACAAATAGATGAACTGAGAGCAGGACATTGGAGGGAAAAGGGCAGAAAGAAATTATCAAACCAGCAATTTATATGTATGTGAATTAACACCACTTTTAGAAGTAAATTGAAATGTTTGCAGGATAAGAAAAAAATTAAAGGCTTGTCCAAGAAATGCTGGAATTCCTAATCAAAAAAATCAGCTTCCAAAATGAAAACTCCAGCTAGATTTTATTTTGATGTATTTTTGGCTTTGTTGGTGAACACGTTTGTCATAATTAAGCAAAATAATCAAAAGTTTATATCAGCAGGCAATTCAGTATTTCTATCCAGCAAGAAGTGGAAGCAAGCATTTAAAGGAAAACATACAAACCCTGTATTTTATTACATGGTTTTACTTAAATTGCTGCAATAAACTAGATTTTGCTTAAATGATTTGCAAGTGTTTTGATACCATTGTTTCTTTGACCTTTCTCTGTGTTGTTTGGTAATGTCTGCTCTCATTGTTCTCATTCCGTATTTGATGGGGTCAGGCATTACGTTTGCCTTCTGCAATTCATGACTAAATGTACATCAAGCATTATTTTTTTTTTACATATTGATATAGTTTTTTTTGTTTTCTGGTAAATAATATTTGTTCTGTGAATGTTATCACTGTTAGCATAATATTCTGACACTCTTTTTACCCAGGTTGAGTAGTATCCTGCTCAGTGATTAAGCATTCTTTCAATAGCCTGACCTGTGAAGAAGGTATTGCCAAGTATGAAGGATACCAGCGTGTAAACCTTATGCTTGCATTCTTTGTTAGTTCAGGATGAATATGTGCAATTAGGTGCCTGCATTTGATCTTTAGTTCAAAGGAAGGGAAGCTTTTTTCAATAAACATGTACAAATGGAAACACAAATAGTTTAAATGTCCGGTAGCTTAAAAATTCTATTGATGGCAGAATTAAAATCTCCAAAGGAAAGGTTTCTCTGGAAGTCATTTAGTTTGCTTTAGTTTGTTAGAATATATATTTGTTTACTTTGCACTCCACTACTACAGATACTTCATTACAATCTGAAATATCTTTTTTTCTTCATTAAAGAAATATAGTTAAAAGAACACTGGGAGCACAGATCACTTCAAAAACCCTCCTCAAAATCCTCTTGAAAGACTTGAAATCCTAAGTCAATCGTTTATGACTGTACGTATAAACACATCATAGAGTCATGGAAAAACAAGCACTTATAGAAGTCAGAGAGTGTCTGGGATGTCTTTTGTATAAAAAGGGAGCATGTTTCTTGTGTATAAATACAAACAATTATTGAATGAAAGTTGAAAACATAATAGTTTCATTATATCATAAATACAACATAAAGCCCCAATGGAAATTCACCCACCATTTGTAGGAGACCAGGTATTTCCACAATAAAATGTAGTTACAACCTTCTTTCTGGCCATGCTTAATTGAACAGAAACAGTGACTGTTAATGACAGTAGACTCCAAACAGTCATTTTCAATTCACATTTTCTTTAATGAAATACTTTATGTTCAAACCTGTAAATACCCCGCGTTAAAAGTAATTGGTCCCCAGAAAAATACCTGCACCGTGTTCTCACTCCTCAGGAAAGTGAGTGAAACAGAAACCTGGGTCACTCTTGCACATGTCTGGGTCAGAGGAGGAGGGGACAGCCACAGGGTCATAAATGAACCCTCGTGCCCCATGAGTGTGCTCACGTGTGAGCATCAGCCGCTGCAGGAGCGCAGGGCTCTGGCACAGTTTCCATCTCTCTCTCAAAACCCGCTCCAAGGGGCTGTCCCCTTGAAAAGATTCCAAGTGGCTTACACAGTATTCCTCTCTAAAAATATCCTAGAGGAGCTGCTTTGCAATGCTGCTGTAAAATAGCCATAGTTCAGTGTTGATTTGTACGTTTTAACAAATTAAGGTAAGAAATATGAAGATAGCTCTCTGTGCATGCTTACTGGGAGTCAGTTTTTCATGAGCACTAATGGTGGTAAGGTCTGAAGGAAAATGTGCACAAGGGGCAAGTCCAAACTAAAACTGTAAATAAAAAACACCACAACAACTTTTAGAGTTTCTCCTCCCCATCTTTCCCTGATTTCTGTTTTATGGAGAATATAAGATTAATTTATTGATAATAAAGATGGATTTTATTGGATCTGATTAGATCCTAATATTTTCCAGTGCTGCATAACTGGATTTTTTGCTTTTTTTTTTTTTTTTATTTTAAACCCATGGTTTTACAAATTAGGCACATTTCAAAAGTAATGAAGAGGGTATTTGTACAAAGTAATTATTCATGTGACTGTGCTATATTTTGGTGTTAAAAGTAATGTTTTAAATTATAGACATGCATATTGAACACTTTGTGACCAATATTATGGATTGAAATCCATAAAAAAATTTAAAAGAAAAAGTTCTAAATACCAGAGAATGCTTTTTTCCCCAAAATTCGACATATTTTTGTTGACTTACTTTGTATTGATACTTGTGAAAGAACAGAAGGGTAGCAAAGTGTTTTATATATATGTGTGTATATATAATCTTTATTATCCACTCTCGAATTTCCTCCTTTTGTTGATTTTCATGATCTTAAATGTACTTGCTTACTGACATATTTGCAGTTGCTAAAGCACTATTTGCCAAGCTGTACTGTTTGAAAGTCATTCTGCATAGAAAATTCAGTATTGTATTAAACAAAAGGAAAGTAATAAATTTAATGATACTATTTAATTAATCTTTTATTATTGCTGTCTTTGAAGCTTTGGTGATAAATTGCAGCCTCAGCCTCAGCACTTCTCGTGATTCATTGCTTGAGACCAGCACTTAATGTATCATCAAAAGTGGACACCTCTCTTTATTTCATGGGTTATTTAACTTGAGAAAGGGAAAGTAATACAAACCTTAAATTTCTTACTCCAGCTATTCTTTTTTAGGAACCAAAGTCAACATTTATGTTTCCCCAGTGCCTCTCACTTTCACCAAGGAATGTTTAGAATCTTAAATTTCTACCTTTTTTTTATTTTTATTTTTTTTCTTAATGACAAGTTCTTCTGTGCAAATGCACTGGTTTTGTTGAGCTAATGCTGTTTTCCTGGATCTTTCCTTCTTTTCCTGTCTGTGCTTCACTCCCTACCAACTTTGCAATGTAGCAAGCTGAGCAGTTGTTCAATCAGATGTACAATCCAGTAAGTTCGTTTTTAAAATGCGCGCTGTAACATATGGAAGCATGAGGATCCATTCCTTTACTGTGTTGTGCTCTTCCTCTGTGGAGCTTTGCAGAACACTCCTGATGCTCACTATGCTTTATCCATTATATCCAAATAAATGAACTTTGTGGACTTGAAGGCCATTTTAAGAATCTGAGATATATTAAATAGGTACTTACTGTGTTTCTGAGAAAACAAACGTCCTTTAGGTCCTCAACTTCTCCATTAGAAAATGCATGCAAAATTTTATTTTCCTTTTGCTTTGCTTTTTAATTCCTCCATGTGCAATACTTTATTTGATCCTTCAAACTTATATAACTCCTAACTTATTCAGTTTACCTTCAGTGACTGAGTTAATTAGATGAATAATAATATCTAGGAAGTGACTGGCAATATTTTCAAAAGTCCATATGACTAAAATAGATCAGTTCTATTCATGGAAGAGTGTATACATTTAGCATATATACATTAGGAATGTGGAAACTTTGTATTTAAGTGAAGAAAATACTAAAATATAAAATGATAAATGCAAAAGGCCGTTTTTGCAAAAGCACAGTATTGCTTTGGCTTATTCAGCATTAATATTCTTGCCAATGCCTGCTTTAATTGCACAATATCTGTTTTGACTTGACTCTGTTTTCAGTTTGAGGAAGAGCAGCAAAAAACTTCCTCTGCAGAGAGGAGTTTCCAACTCTTTGGCTGAGACTGTTAACATTTAATGTGCTGAGCATCACAGGACAGAAAAATGATGTAACTCCAAGAGCAATTTAAAAGCTATAGTTTACATAGTAATCCTGGTCAGAGTCACTACGTAATTGGGGTAGTGAATGTTTAGAAGGACTGGGTTTGTAGCTTAAGTAATGTGATATGACACATTAGAGGAGGTATTGCCATCACTGGAGTCAATGGGAGCTTTGCCATGAGTGTCCATGGACCAGGATTCCAGCTTTGGAATGTATCATGGTTAGGTTTTGTAGTTCTAACTATGTAATGTATATGTCATGACTTTTGTATGGGAAAAGAGAGTCTCACAGCATGTGCTGTATTTACTTTTAAAGTTATTGGTTACCTGTGTTTAGAATGTAGTCATAAATTGAAGCACAACAGCATAAAACCTGATGTTATCACCTCTACCCTCTGCCACAGTGCTGGAGAAAGAGCTTGTCCCTTTAATGTTAAACCCCTTTTTTTCTGTATCATCTTGGGTAATTTTTGTGGTAGCTGTGTTTCAATTCACATCATTTGCACTGCTCCTGTTCATGTCTTCTCAGACTGGAGTCTTTTTACTGTTAGTTTTCAGCTTGGTTTTCATAAATTCTGGCCAGTCATTAGCTGAATATTAGCGATACTGCTCTACAGAATTCATTTGTTCCTTCCTAATCTGTTTGTGTGCAGTATCCCAAAGTCAGTCCTTTTCCTAATTGTTTTTTCTGCCTTTATGTGGTTAATTTTCAAAAGGACAGCCTATTGGAAGTTGCAAAACAACGGATGCAAGATCCTTTTCCTTTGGCACCAGGAAACAATCACACTATACCCACAAGACGATTATTTTAAAACAAACTTCTCTTGCTCACCTTCTTTCTTCTCCTACATATATAAGGATAAATTGTAAATACAATTGGACATACATTTCTTCATGCTTTAGAGGTGAACTTTTTGAAATACCCAATGAGATTTTGTGCAAAATTGATTATAAGAAATTACATGCCTTTGTGCTGTAATGAAAATATCATGCTGTACTGAGTCTGGAGTTCAGGTGAACCTTTTTCTGAATATTAAAGACTAAATTTTCCAAGATCTTCTATCAGAGAAATGTCAGATTAAAATTTAAAGTACTTGCAGAATACACTATAAATTACTTAGAGCAGTCCCTAAAGTTAAATGAAAACTTCCTGAGTTTTAAGGAGACAAGAAGAATTCATGTGACAGAAATATTTTTTTCCCCCATTTATTCTTGAAAGTAATAAAATTTGAAGGATCTTACAAAGTAATATCTTGCATGTAAATTCTGCTGTTCCTTTTCTCTTTTTTATATATATTTAAGTACCCACTTGATTTCTGTGTATGTTTGTGTCTGAAGCTTTAAAAATGAAATACTTATCTAACCATCCATTTCTGTTATGAAGAATAATACATGCATGACAGTACTGTAAGACTTTAATAGCCTAAATAATTCATGTTGCATGTCTGTGCCACACTGTTATGATGTTTCTGTAGGACATTTGTGGTTTACATAAGGAAATAGTACTTTTCTTCTAAAGGATTTGCAGTGCTCATGGAGCAAAGATCAGAACAGATATATAATTAATGTAAGAATTTGTGAAATTCTAATGTAGAGTGATATGCTATTTTTACTCAGTTGTAAAAATAACATACAACATCACACTCATAATATTGGAAGAAAAAGCAGCATGAAGTGAGTGGGTTAGTTTGAAATTAACCTAATCACCACAGACAAAGGTTATAATTTGCAGATACAGATTTAAGAGAGCTGAAAAATACACATGGACCAGTACCTCTTACCCATAAAACCTATTGGAACAGAAAATGTGTTTTCTGAGGTAAAGAGAACTTAGGGAGTAAACAGGGCACAGAAATTAAACAGAAAAAGGAGAGCACAGCAGAAATGGGCAGAGACTTTCTGATTCATGTGATAACCATGCAGCCTCTGTCTAGAACTGATCCAACAGTTCAGTCTACAGCCTAAAAAAAGCCAAAGAAATCTGCCCTGTCCTGGCATCAGCAGGGTCAATATCAACTGAGCTGCCTTTTAACTCCTTTGGGCCTACTGTTTGACCTCAAAAGTCAAGTTCCATCTGTCAACAAATCACCCCTGATCTGTACACAACAAATTCAAAAACATGCCTAGTTCAGATCCAAGCACATCTTGTGAAGCCATAAAATAAAATGGGGCCTTATAAGTAATTCTGTGCCTTTGTCCTGGCAATGTCAGATGGATTGTGGTTTGCTCTTTTCTAGTATTGGCAGCTTTGTTTACAATGTGAGGATTCCCTTAAAGGGAATTGCAAGTTAAAGTACCACCTGCAGAGAGCTCCTTGTAAAAATTACTTTTTGTTATTGCTCTCCATTTTTAACTAACTTTCTATTACTTCTTCATTTGGGCAATACCTTGTAGAAATCTGGCTCCTGCCAATAGTCCAAAAGAGGTTCTCTAAGTGCTTTGAAAAGGATAGGCAATCAGCTGAATTGGTGGTATGCAATACTGGTTTTGGTTTTTTTTTTCTTTTTTTTTTTTTCTTTCTAACAAGAATAACCTTGTAGTAACTGAATGTGATATTGGTTGGATGCTTAATCACATTTAATCATACTTTAGAAGTTCTGCTCCATGTTGGGGAAATGCAGTGACCCAGTTTGTGCAGGAGAATTTTCCAAAAACACATCCCACAAATATACCACAGAAAACACAAGAACTGAAAATATTTTTTCAGCTTAATGTTGAATTCCTTAGCAGACTGTTGAGCAAAGATTTAAAGGGCTAAACTAAAAATCTATTATTTCAGGTGCTGATTTGCTTATCAGCTATGCAGCAGATAATTTTTGGAGTATTTCTTAATACTCAGCTCAGTAATTTCTGAGCTGCTGTGCGACAGGAATGCTCCATGGTAGTAGAACATTTTGACACCTGTGCATTGATGATGCTACCATATTCTCGCCCAGTTATGTATTTTCCTTGTAGAAAGTACAATGTGACAATAAAACATAAAAAAAGAGACAGGCTTCTCTCTCCCATCTGCATTGCTTCTTGCCCTGGGGTATGAGAAAGGGTTAGAGGTACATGGGGAAAAAGCCACTTGGGCTGAAGCTGAGACTTTATGCTGAAGTGAAGACTGCTTAGAGAAAGGAAGGTGGGTCTTTTTCCTCTTTATGAAATGATGGCTGTTATGTAATTAATTGTGTACTGAAGGAAAGGGACAGAAAGGTGTCAGGGAGCTACATGAAAGAGCAATAGCCTTCAGAGAGAAACTGAAATTCTGGATTAATTCTTGGGAGAGGAGGAGACATCTGATGAATAGGGAACAATATGCTTTTTGTGTGAGTTTCTTAGTATCTTGAAGATGGGAGCTGTATTTCTTTTTCTAGAGTGAATTTACTTATGGAATTAATTTATTCCTTGCAAAATTAGATAATGATAGAAAAGTGTATATTGTAATAGCTCTGGTGGACAATCAAAGTGTTTTCTCAGATAATTGGCCTTCAGTCAATTGTTTACTTTCAGTTGAAAGTAAATTTCTTGATACAATTAACAATGGGTATAAAAGAAATCCGATTTTATTATTAAGGAAGATTATGAACCTGAAAAGGAATCTGTTGCTGGCGTCTCACTCAAACTTAAGATACTTAAGATACAAAATCAAGATACTCCTTGAATGTTACCTTGAAACAAGTTCTGGGTTTAAAAAGTCCTGCATCTGCATGGAATTCAGGACTGGAGCATGTATCAAAACAGAAATTCTGAAGAGCAACGTCAGTAGGGTTTTTAGGCTCCTCGTGTCATTCCCTTAGCTTTTTTTTTTTGTGATGAAATACTTTTTATGAATAAAAGCCTCAAATTAGGATAAATAACATGTCAAATCTACTATGTTTTCCTTATTATCCTCATGCTTAAATGATATGTTACATGCAAACCCCCTAAGTTTCTTCCCTACTAATTTCAATTTTTTTGTTGTATTTATAGTAAACTCAGACTTGTTCTTTATTTATACAGAAAATTTTAACCATTGCAAAGAGTATGGACCTTCTAGTATCTGTAGTTTATACTGATCCTTTCCCAAATATGCATGCTTCATTTTGATCTGCATTTCTTTCATTGCTTGCTTGCATTGTCCATTCCCTGAAATTAAGAAGGATAAGTAAGTCTACGTCTTCTCTGCGTACTAAGATGGTTGGAGGACCTCCAGTTCTGAATATCATGAACTTCTGTAAAAATCCTGTTTGTTACCTGAATTTTCTATGTTTAATGTGCACTGCCTTAAACGACTTGTTTTTTCCTTGCCTGCTCTTTCAAGATGCCAATTAGGAATAATGGGAAGCAAGGGGTAGGCTAAGCATTGCAGTGCATCGTTGTTTCCATCTGTCTGTGATTATTCCAGCCAACAGTTTAAAGCACTCGGTGCCAGGTCATGCTCCCATTGAAGTTAATTGGGTTTTTGCCATTAGGTTTGATGGGAGTTGGGCTGGGCTCTGCACTGTTGTTGTTTTCATTGCGTTCTCTCTTGTCTGTGAAACTGCCACCCATCCATGCATGTGTTTGCCAGGTTTGTGCTGTTTTCACCAACGGGCTTGTTCCTCTGATGTTTCAGGTTAAGTATTAATGATAAGATAAAAAGGATTATTGGCTAAGATGTCTGCTGAAAACAGCTTTTTAGTTTATTTATTCATGTTTTAAAATCACCTCTGCATTATAAACAGTTTCTTTATTTTAAATTCTTTTTATCAAACTGCATTTGAGACATCTGGTGATACAGATATATACAATATGTATGTATGTATCTGGGTTTGTATATTTATACATGGACAAAGTGTGTGTGTTTCTATATAGGGAAAGACATGATTTGTTAAGAAATTGCCTATATATTTAAACCACACTGATCTTAATGTGAATTTAATGAATTGCAAGGTGAGTTTTTTCTAAATTTGAAAACACACCTTTAAAATGGGGTCACTTGAATATGTAAAAACCCCCTTAATAAATCTCCCCCCTTTTCAAGATGATAAAATTTGACTACATAGATATTTTAATTTCTTTTTATAATCTATTATCTATCTGTTTATAATTTTATTCACTGTAGAAAGGCATCATCAGACAGGAATACCCATAATCCTTTTTAATGAAAACTTGAACTCTGAGACTGAAGAAGTAAAGCTCTTAAAGGTATTTAAGTTACTGTCATCCTTATCTTTTTTGAAATATTGATTCTGAAGGCTCATGAAGCTGAAGAGGAGGCACGGATGAATCCAGAATTTGCAGACAGAATGAAACAGCTCGACAAAGAGGCATCATACTATAGAGAAGAATGTGGCAAAGCTCAGGCTGAGGTTGACAGACTTCTAGAAATACTCAAGGAAGTAGAGAATGAGAAGAATGACAAAGATAAGAAAATTGCTGAGTTAGAAAGGTAATTTTTGTATTATTTGTCTTCCATTGAGCAGCATTTTTGCTTACTTGATCTTCTTTTCAGAAGCAGAGACGTTCAAAGCAGAGTATGTTTTTTTAAGAGAATATTTGTTATGCTCTGTAAAAGAACAAAAAAGGGCTGCTTGAGAACTGCATTTCCTGCTGGCTGACTTGGAAAAATTTAAGGTTTCTGTTTTTTAATACTCTTCATGAAACAAACATATATAGGAAAAGTCATGTGCAATTTACAGGCACAACAACCCCCCAGAAAACCGTGATGGGGAACAAGCCTGTCTTTTAGTAACTGGTGAATCAGGCCTATCCCCACATGTTTCTTCAAGTGTGAGCATCACCAGTCATTCTCAGAGGTCCTGTAAGTAAGAAAAGTATTGGTAAGTATTTCTAACCCGTCTCATGACTATTTCATAGTAGTTGTAACTATTTCTCAGTGTTCCCATAGCCTTTGTTTGCTTCAAAGGAGTATTTTCTGATGTTGACCAGGCAATGATTGTCTTGTTTCTGGGAAGGCTGTAGAAGCTTTCCATAATGGAGAGACGAGGGTTTTGGGATTTGTCTCATGGCCTTTGTAATTAAATAGACCTTGGGACCTTCTCCCATCTGGTGTCCTGCTAATTGTTTGATTGATCAGTTTTCTTTATTCTCTTCCTTTAATTAGACACTCTTGCATGAATGAAAGAAGGAATTCTGAGCTTTCAAATAATTTATATAATTGTTTGATTGTGATCAAGTCAGAAGAAAACTGTTTCATGGTTCCAAAAAAGAAGTTTAAGTGATTTCATTTTCGCGATCACTGCTATAGTTACAGTCAAGACAGAGCACCCATTAGGGAGCATTACCATTAAAGAGAGGAACATGTCAGAAGTTTTAGTTACCTTGGGGGCAGAAAACAGCCAGCATGGAAAGAAGGATGTGTAGAGCACCTTTTACTGAGGGTGACTTATCAACCTTCAGAGCTACCTGCTGCCAAAACTTGTTACTTTTTGCAGATGTTTGGTAAAGTTTAGTAATGGTTAAGTGTTATGAGAATGGAAACCTCAAATTCAAAGTGAGAGAAGATTTTTATTTAAAATAGAACTGATTATTTACATAAGGACAACTTCAATTGGCAATTGTCTCTCTCACCACATCAGAGTTTAGAATACTCAAGTGTTTGCCCCTATTTTAATCTGTAAAGGAGGTCCCAGAGGAAGCGAGTAATCAAGAGTGGTCACTTTGTTCACTGTGCCTGTGAGTTCTGCCTACACTCTCCTAAAGCAGCACATTGGAAAAGATACCACAGTGTGGAGCTTTGTGTGGATGAGAAAGTGCTGCCTCTTCCATGCAGTGGTGTAGGGGCTGAGGGGCAATGACAGACCCACGCTTGTAATGCAGCAACTCCAGGTGTGACCACCAGGTGTAAACCGGAACTGATCCCCACCTTGCACTGTAAAAGTGAATTATTATGTCACACCAGACTCACTGGCAGGCACAGGAATCTTTTGTTCAAGAGGATAATCTTAAGACCTTCATTAGACAGCAATCACGAACGTGTTGAATGTTTGACTATTAAAATGACAAAATTAAAGGATGATCATAAAGTACTGGAGCTTGTGATCTCAAATTTCTGGAAATGTTAATTTGATTTAAACAATTTATGTAAAAAGAGATAAAAGAATTGATAGAGAGCAGTAAGTGAATTTGAATTGAGAATTATTGGTTACAAAACAACAATTACAAAGATTCAAGGAATTAAGAGGTCCAGAGATACTGGTACAGCACTGTCAGCAAATAATCTGTTCTTATTGTCTGAGAATCCTGCAATGGGTGATGCAATGGAGAGAATTTTCTTTTTTTGTATTAATTTTATTTTCAAATTTGTTATACCCTTAGCAGTGAAGTTTTGAAACACCAAAATCTGTTATTGTTATGAAGGTGTTGACCCTGAAATAACTTTTCAGAAAATAATGTGGTACTGCTGAGAGAACACAGACTTTTGAAGAAGATGAACTGTACATAGAATGTGATGTTAAACTTTGCTATGGAGCTTTAGCAAGTTATTTGACATTTCCTCAAACTTCAGATGAAAGGGCATCTCCAGGGCCCTGCGTGAAAATGGATGTGATGTTAAAATGCATTTATTTATTCATAGCTTGCTAGGACCCATGTTCACTGCTATGCCAACATCTTTACATTGCAAGATAATTGCAGCAACATAAATTTTCAAAATATATCAACATAAATTTCTGAGGAAGTGATAATCTAGACTATTGCAAGCTGTGGTATCCTCACAATATTTATTATATTCACATATGAATTCTTCAGCATAATGAGGTATGCTTGTATAAATAAGTTTGAAAAGTAAAAATGGATATAATAAAGTTATCATTTACAAATTCAAACAAAAATTAAAACAAGATGATGAATACTAACATTCCACTAGTCAGAAAGTATTGACACACCAAGTGTCAAATACTCAGGGGTAGAAATATCTGTTTTGAGATATGGGCAGTTAAATTTATAAATGTGTTCTACTTGGCAGATGAACATTACTAATAATTATGAAGAAGTCTTCATATGAATGGTAATTCTTTTGGTTTTAATGTTATTTTCTTGGCTCAAAAACTATCACACTCCTGAGCGTCATCACTTCAGATTAATATTATTGCTCCTATAAAATAACATTAATCTATTCCTTAAATGTCTGTCTCTATATTAACTTTGAATTTTACAGTTACTTATTACTACACAGGAGAACCACCTCCTTCTTCTATGCTAAAGCTATTTGATAACTTTTATTACAATTTTCACAATTTATCTGTTTATAATTAAAAAAAGTTTAAAATTAAATGCAAGATGTTACATTTAATGCATAATGTGCTTTAGTTAAACTTAGCTTGCTGTTTTTCTCTGGTTTTCTTGATGAAAGAAATGTGGTTAAGGGTTTTTTAGTTTTTATTTCTATGGCTTTTTTTTAATAATGTAAATGAAACTGGATAAGATAGTGATCATCTCAAGTTTTAATGCAAAGAGTCTCACCAAGGAGAGGGAGCTGAAGCTGAAACAGAACTGTCAGGATTGAAGGAGTATATTGTTTAAAGGTTTTATTAATGGTGTTAAAATGAGAAGTATATTTATGAAATGTGATAGTTTGAATTACAAAATGAAATTAAATACAATGGCATAAAATGCATTGTATTGTGAAGTTAGGACTATTAAGGCTGCCTGATATAAACTAAGAATATCCTTGATTACAGTTCTGGAAAAGAAAGATTGGGTGAATTTGCTTATGGCTGTGTCATTATGAGCCATCTGAATAATGAAGCAGAGATGTAAAGAATGAGGAGTGAATCCTGATATGTCAGAATAAATACCTGCAGTAAGGATAGGAAGGTATTAATGTCATCAGGTGCTGGCAAGGCTCTGTGTGGAACACTGCTGTGTACTGCTCATCAGTCATATGCCAGGAAGTTGAATTAAAACTGGAAACAGGTGCAGAGAAGGCTGGTAAGGAGGAATGAAGTGCTCATGACCCAGGAGGAGTCTAAGGAACAGTGGTTTAGTCCTCTGGCCAAACAAAGCTGGGTGGAGATGCTTGTTCTGTATATATGTGGGAAGGGATAAGCACTGTTGGGAAAGAAGAGTGATTTCAGTAAAAGAGCATTGGGACATAATACAGTATAAATTATCCATTGGTAAATTTAGATTGAAAAGAGAAAGGAAGTAATGACAACATAGTGAAGATTGCAAAATCTTGGATCCACTTTTCTCCAGTGATATGTGAGCTGGTTGGTCATGTTTGGCTGAGTGTAGCTTCTCAGCAAGGATGGTAACTATATAAAAGTCCATTTAAAAATATTATATTAGCTATGGGACAAACCTGTTTGTTCTTAACCAAGAAGTTTTAGGTTTTTTTGTTACTGATTTCTCATATGCAGGGGGTATGTAACACTATAGATGTGTATTCAAGCTCTTGGTGTATTCAGACTACAATTAACTCATTCTGAATTGATTTGGATTTGAATTCTCATGAAGGTAAGTCCACACAGCAGTGACAAGTCATGACACAAGAGACAAAACATCAGCATGTGGAATAACTGCATTTTAAATGAAAGTACTTTTATGGCTGTTAAATATGCTCCTTTTCCTAAATGCACGAAGTACTGTGTGTCAGGGACGGATTTCAGGACTAGTCTAGCTGGGTGGGGATTGTTTTGGCCTTCCTTATATGAGAAGGGTGTGTTAGGTATTTTTTAAACAAGCAAAGTTATCAAAAATCAGAGTATTTTCAGTGCTGAAGTGTTAATTCTCTTCTTCATACTGAATTAAAAATTTTCTGTCAGCATTGGAAGGGGCTGCATTTCCTGGGTTGTGTGGGGTGTCAAATCTTCATCTTTGATTATTAGCTACAGTGCTTTGTGAACTTCTAAATACCTTTGAACAAGTTGCCAAATTGTCTAGCTGCTTTAACTTCCATTGGAAGACTTAATGAATGAGGGTCACCAGGCTATGATAGTTCAAATGAAAGACTTTGTGGCATGTGATGAGATGTTTGTGTGGCAGCAAACGCTGCCAATATTCATCCAATTTATTTGTTCTATTTGGTGTTTATGTGCATTTGGAATTGGATGGTTATAAATATGGATGTCTTTCCACTGTCCACCAATGACAAGATGCCTTTTTGATTTAAAGTTTGTTTTCTTCAGTACCACAGGAAGGATATAGCTCTGCAGAAATTTCATTTTAGTTCTTGCTTTCCCTTCCCTTTCCTTTATTTTTTTTCTTTCTTTTTTTTTTTTTCCCTAATAATCTGCTAATATAACATCTGCTTGTTATATTTTTAAAGAACTAATGTGTTCCTACCTTTATTCTCTTTTGCTGTCTTCCTCCCTATCTGTTTTCCTCCAAACTGCTGCTTTCATCCCTACTCCAACCAGCTTGACTTCCAGGTCAGTATTTTCTGCTCTCCTACTTAATGCTCCTTCCACAATGAAAGTTTTCATTGATGCTTCATTTATTTAGTTATTTTGATTCTACATTATTAACTTCTGTTTGTGTTTTGTTGTTTTTATTCTACTTGTCCCTATTGTGAAGTTTTTGGTCATTTAATTTCTAGACCAGAAACTTTCCAGTAAATGAATCTTTTTTCTTGAATGCCTATAAGAAAAAAAAAAGCTTATTAACAACATATTCAATTCATATGTTGTTTCATGTAAAAATTTTTTCTTCTTTTTGGTTTTGCTTATGTTGTCTTTGTTTTGAGAGTTCAACAATGGGAATAATTTTTTGGTAGATAACCCAACCCAGCAGGTAATGAACAGTGACAATTGTCTGCAGAGATATTTATACCTAAGATCAGAGACTTATTATTAATACTTTGCCATTGCCCCTTTTACTGGTTACAGAATATGAAGAGTTGCAGTGGTTCAGAGACTTTTAGCTGGTTTTGCTGCCCAGATTCTGGACAAGCACATAATTTTAAATGAGTTGTCTGTACGTGTTTTTATGCTGTGTTTGTATGTAACCTCATCTAGTCAGGCTTGTGTTTTAAATTCTTCCGGGTTGTAGATTACTTTAGCTGTTTGCACACTGTTTCTGAGTAAACTTTTCAAGTATAACATGTCTTGTGTTGCTTCTTGGAAGTAAAAATTGATCTAGTTGACATTTTTTTCTCTTAGTAGCCCTTGATGTTAATCTTCTTTCTCATGCTTATGGGTGGCTGTAAATTGTAAGTTAGCAAAGTCTTAAAACATCTTTTTGATGTTTTCTCTTGGGAGTTTTGGTCTCAGCCTCAAAACCAAGCACAATTCATGTTTCACAGTTCAGACATGTCAGAGAAATCTCTGACAGGGATGTCTTCAAACTGCACAGCTAAAGATGGCTCACTGCAAAAAGATTGACAAGACTTTTTTCCCCCTGATGCACTTTAGTAAATGTCACAATCACAAGTTACTTTCCAGCTGAAAAGGTTTGTTTCTGAAATTTGAGGCTTATTGATTGAAATAAAGACCTAGATGAACTTTAAATTTACTGTCTATCCACTTTAAGCACTTTTTTATGTGCTTGAAGGGATAGTTATTACATGCAGATTGTGAAAATACTTCAAGAATTTATTTTCAGAATTTTTCTTTCTTCCAGGAGTTAATTAAATGTATTTATTATGGAATTGGCCACAATGAAATTATTGTCTGAATGTAACCACTTTGAATTTCTCTCAGAGCATACTCATCATTGATTGAAAATCTCTCTAGCTCAAGAGACCCTAAAGAAAGGTATTATTATGCTATGTGGTTGACATTATGGTTGATTTCCCTGGAATTCAATGATTGGTATGCAGAAACATTTGTTCAGCAGTTGGAGGTGCAATTTTTGTTATGTTTTATTGACCTAAAAAACCAACTGACCTTGTTGAAGCAAACTGTCCTCATTACTCTGCCAACTTCCATCCCTAGAGTCCCAGATAAGCTGTAGAGTACGATTAGAATTTATTGTGGGAATTCAGTGAAGTGTTAAGTTTTCTCAGCTTGAATCTTCATTAAGGTCAAAGCTTAATTTAAGAAACAGATATATTAATTTCCATAATTTCTGCTGGTCAGTATGGTCTTTGCTGTCATTTTAGCCATCCATACTCCTATAAGGTTTTCATGGTTAGAAAAATGCTGCCTCTGTTTCATGATAGTAGGCTATTGATACTGATGACAAACAAAATAATCCAATACATTGGCATAATGCCCCCATGTGCACCTGCCTGTACAAGACAAAAATATTGAGTACAACCAGCAGTACAGTGACATCCCCACACCTGCAGGTTACAGCATGTTATATACTCCCCAAACTTTTCTGTTTGCAGATAAGGAAGAGATGGATATTTTTTCCATGTGAACTGTACTGACCAGTGCTAGAAAGTTTCCCACCAGCTCCGATGTTGGCCTTTCGAATTGTTTCTGTGGGAGGCCAGAGCGCAGTGAGATGTGCAAGGGAAGGTTCAATGGAGTTTTAAATTTAACCTCCAAGCCGTCCACAGTTTTGTCAAATGTCAGTTTGATGGTTCCAAGGGCAGAGTGATATGTTGTTCAAAGATAATTTCCCTGGAGAAATTGAGATAGGGTACTACTGAAAACTGAGAGAATCCGTGATATACATTACTCTTCTGAGAGACTGGTTATTCTGAGTGAGAAACATAGTTGTCACGTTGGATAACAGGCAGATTGCTGACATGTCATTCTCTTTTAGTCTGTTTGCTACATATGCAAAACCAATGTTTTAGCATTTAAACAATTTGAAAGAGATGACATTTTGAGATGAGATTATTTCAGTTTATCTGATTCTATGTGTGGTTTTAAACTTTCGTAAATTTAATTTTTAAAGAAAAAATCAAGTAGAAAGTTTATTTCTTTGGTAGTCTTCTTTAAAGGGGAAAAAAAAGAAAATATTATATTACAAAATAAGCAATGACCAATAAACAGATACAAACAGAGTCCTGGGACAAGATGATGCACTCTTGTTCAATTTCATCCCACTCACTACTGAACTTGTCAGCATTGTTCTGTACTTTCCCTTTCAGTTTGCTGAAAGCCATGCAAAGGTTAAAATAGAAAGGAATTATTTAAATAAGGAAGAAGATTTTGTAATTTCTCAGTGATCTGCTTTTTTAGAGATTTGATTTGGAGGGTAAAGTAAGAATACTTATATTATATATTCTTTTATATATATATATATTCTTATATAGTAAGAATACATTCTTACTGTAAAGTAAGAATGCAGAATGAAGTGATATGAGGAGGAAAGAGCTCTGCCTTGCTGAAGGAAAAATATCAACTTTGGATTTGGTTGGATGTGACACCACAACTCTGGGTAGGGAAAGAGAGAACAGAAGGAGCTGTTACTCTTCCCTTTCATGATTACTGGTTCAAGAAATCAATATTTCTTATGCTTCTCCAGATCTGCTGCCTCCACGAGTTTTCCTCAGGGGCAGGATCTGGAGGGCAGATTTCTTTACCTCTTGAACCTGTGCATGAAGTAGCCCCAGAGCACTCCCTGGGGAGCTTGGTGACTGCCTGGGCTCAATGCTGTCAGGATTCCATGTGCATGGTGGAGGGGCGTGTGAGTGAAGAATCATTGTGAGATAGCACAGCTTGCCCTCCAAAAGCTGTGACTGAAAGGAGACAGGGGCACTAAATTTAGGAATTGGGTTGTTGGTGGAACCACTCCTTCCACTCATATTGTTTGCTTTCACAGTTTGCAGGAGCAACATGCCTGGGCAACGTGGTGGTGCTCTGATCTGAATTTCTAATAAGGGGAAGTTTGTATGTCTAAACAAGAGTCATACAAAGTCTACCTGATTTATTTGGAGGTCTGAAGAAGTTACTGCAAAAGTATGGAAAGCTTGATTTATGTGTTGGATGGTAATGGCTGGATTGATCCTGAGAACTTCTAGGGTGAGCCAGGAGTTGCAGTCAAAAGCTTTGATCCAGAAGGAAATTGCAATGAAATGTGGAGTGCTGCAGAGGAGATGTGATGCTGATTGCTGTCAGGCTGGGCTGGACATGCTGTGGAGCAGTGGATGCAGAGAAAAACTGGAGAGTCAGGAGGTGGTGGAGCTTTTTTTTCTGTTTTTTTTGTTTGTTTGTGCAGAGATGCTTTGTTAGTTTGGTGTTTTAAAGAAGAAACTTTTCTGGACTACAGCTGGGAAGGACCTGATGGACCAGTAGCAGGGCTGCAAGTTCTTGGTTGCAAATTTCAGGCAACAAATTATTTCCAGTAACTGGTTACAGTTATTGCTAATGGTCTCAATTAAAATAATAGCTGAGCAAGCAATTGCCATATTAAATCAGATCAAATATCCTTCTCATCTAGTGTGCTGTCATCAGCAGTGCTTTTTCTTTTTTCTTTTTTTTTTTTAATGAAGTACATCAGAAGAAAATGCACGGCAATCCTGGGTGTATGAGAAAGATGTGTGACAGATGAGTCTTCTGGTATGAATTTCACACATGTTCATGTAAAGTGTCATCCAGCAGGAATGTGCTGAGGAAGGCAGCAGTGCAGTGCGCTGGGTCGGAGTTTCCGTGGTTGCAGTGCAGGTCTGCGTTGAAACAAAGTGACATGAACCATAGTTTGGAGCAGGATTTTAGTACATCTCTTTCATTCATGCATTATCCTCACGTGGATATTTCTAGAATCTCTCCAGGGCTTTGGAGGGAACTGTGTCAGACTAAACAGTTCTTAAATAAAGATTTTGGAAAACTTCCCAGAGTGTGTGTTAGGTAAAGCCCTTCCTCCCACATTTTTGCCTTTGAGGTGAGAAATGTTTCAGTGACTTCTGTGACACTTGCATTATTTCTACCAGGCAGAGCTCTCAGTTGTCCCAGGACAATAATATTTTTTTTGTGGTGCATTTGGAGGCAAAATAATTGTCTCACTGAAGAATTGTCATAATATGAGTATTATGAAACTTGAAGCCAGCCTTCAGGCAATTGAAATTATGAGATTTAGAAGGGGGAGGGAGTTTAAGGGGATGTGAAGAAGAGTGTTTTTGAGACCTACAGGTCTCTGTGGGCTACAAGCCTGCTCCTTCGGGTGAAACTGAAATAGCTATGTAACCTACCAGTAATAGGAGCTGGGAGTGTAATGAAAACATTGAATTTACTAAAATTCATTTATCTTAGCTGCTAGTTCTGGGCATGATGGCCTTTTTGCATTCAACTGGAGAATTAGGGATATATGAATTAAATTTTTTCTTTTTTAGATATTATTTTTTTTTTTTAATGCTGCTTGCTTTGGATGACTTTTTTTTTTTTTTTTGTCCCATGTTTCTGTTGGTCATTTTGTTTCCAGTTCTTTCTATCAAATAGTTGTGGAGAGAACACAGATGGGTACCTCCCAGGTCTGATGAGCAGATGAACTGTGACATGGAGTTTGCCATAGTCTGAGCATCAAGTGAAAGAAGAGCAAGTATTCTTCTTCAGTCAGGGACAATATTCATTTCTTGTGATAGTATTTTCTCAGCCGTGTTGAAAATAGTGGCCTTTATTACCTAAAGATAAAGCCAGTTTGGCCAAGGTTAATCAGCAAGAGAATTACCAGATTCCAAATTCCCTTGCTAAAAAAGCACCAAAATTTTACTCAGTTTTCAGAAACTTCATTGCTATGGGAAGGTCCCTCATGTCCCGTTAGCCCTGCTGGGAACAGGGGAGATCCAGCCACAGGCTGATAACATTTCCTGTCTCTCCAGGGGGCACCCACTCAAGCTTGCTTTCTCATCCCCAATGACAATAGACATGCTAAGGAAGCTGAGCTACTTCCCTTTATGCCACTGTAGAATATTTTTTTTTTCGTTACAAGATCAAATAGCACAATTGTAAAAATGAAATATTGTGGGGTTGTAGATTATGTTGTCACACAGGTTAGGTGTTTAAGCGATTGTAAAGGGAGTTGAAGCCTTGCTCCTGCTACTTTTCAGTGGGAAACAGAGGAGAAAATGTAGATCTTTAAAGAGAAAAAGAAAAGAGGGAATAAGGTCTGCTAGTCTTTCTGCTTTGGAATTATGAGAGCAAGAAGGGCAATGCTGTGACAGGATATATAGTATGTTTTCTTCTGTAGAATGGCAGTAGTTTAGGCAGATATGCAGAGAAAGGAATTCCTTGAGATTTGGGATGAAGTATTCCTGCCAAGTGCTGTGGCATTTATGACAACAGACATGTGAAAAAAATCTTGATTTTTTGGGTTTGTTTTCTTTTGATTATGTTTAGCAAAACCAAGGAATACTTATTTATTTATTATTTATTTCTCTGTTAAGAAGAAATAAATTAAAATTCAAAACTTTATTACCCAGTGCCTATGTAGTGCTCTGTATTAATTTGTGAGCTTTTTAAAGGGTCTTTGACTGTAGGAGTATTCCTGCTTTTAATGTTTAAATTTAATAGACCAATTCATTTCTTAATGGTTGGGATGGTTCCTTTTATTTGTTTGTATAAGATATTTAGTTTGTTACCAGTGTGATAATTGTATGAGTTAACAGAAGAAAAAGAAGAAAAGCTAAGAATAAGGAGAGACACCAGATTTTAGAAGATGTCTTGGACACTAACAATTATGACCTTTTTTCAATCAAGATCATATAACCTAACTAATAATTCTTTAGGTATTATTATCTTGATGGAAAAACAAAGAGTGAATGTTTTACATGCAAATGACAGCACAGGAAGTCACTCAGTTTTTTTATTACCATATTATAAAACTTCCAGTGACTATAGTCTAGCTTAATAAATCAATTCACCAGTCAAGCATGAGGGCTTTCTTTTAGAAAAAAATTACCTTTGTTCAAGATTAGTTTTCTTTGTTATATTAAAAATCCTGCCTGTCACACGTAGAGGTTTTCTTATCCTGATAATATTTGCTTCCTACAGAAAAATCCATCTCTGGGCTGTAAGTGAATAAGCAGTGTCCTTGTTTGTGTCAGGAATGTGTCTGTCAGTACCCCTCTTAACATGCCTTGTGGTGATTTTAGTCTCTTTGAGTCCAACCCAGCTTTGTTTCTCAGGTTTATAGATAGGTAGTAGCAAATGCATTTGTATTCCATGAAAATGCCAGAAACAATACTTAACTTGCTTATATCAATAAAATTCTAGCTTTTGGATTTCAATGAAATTAGACCTGAATTTTGAAGCATTACCCTTATGCTGGTTTAGTCATGACTCAGTGAAGCACCTGCATAGACTCTGAATATTTCTACTGAGTCTCACTGAAGTGTTGTAATTTGGAATGGACATTCACATGGTTGGGATTTACAGGATCAGGTCTTCTGCATGACTAACTGCTGAGACCCAGAGTGCCTAGGAAGATGTTAAGATTTGTTTCATTGATCACATACATGAATTCTTTGTAAAAGTGTGCACTATTTATAAAGGAGAAAGAGATAATAATTTCAAATAATGTTGATGGTAATATTCTACCCAGTGCCTGCCTAGAACATTGGGTGATGTTTGTTTATTTAAAACAGATGTACTATATTGAATTTTAAAACACATTTTTGAGAATTTCTTATTTTATATAGATTATTTGTTTTGACTAATTTGTATTTCATAAAAAAGATCTGGTTAGTTTGGTTTGGGGTTGATATCTTTTTTTGCTTGATTCCCTAAAAACATTCTTTGCACTGTGATTTTTTTATTTGCTGAGGAGCACAGCTTCCTAGCACAATGTAGAATTTATTTGATGGACTTGCAGACAGCTGGTACCATTGCGATGCTGTTTAAAGTGATTAAAATTATTCCAGGGACATATTCCTGTAGAAAATGTTACATATTTTGCTCTTGGGAGTTTTTTGCATGTCTGCATTTTTTGGATGCTTTGTGGGGAAAAAAACCCTTTGTGAAATAAAGGCTGTACTAACATGTAATGCTTATTCTTGGCTGATGTTACCAGCTTTGTGGCCAAGGTACCCAGGTGGCTAATTAAAGCAGGGAATTTAATGAAATAGTGTGATTTTCTATAGCTATCAGAGATGAAAGTTTTGGAGGTTAGACAACATGCACTACTGTAAAATAACATCTCAATGCTATGAACGGGTATGCAGGAACTTAGTGTTTAATATTTGTCTTAAAAAGCTGAACTAAAGGAACTAAATGTCCTACAGTTAGACCTGTGAGATCAATTTGTGTGCAGCTCCAGAACTAGAAAAATCCCCAAATGTGGTTAAAGTGTAGTCATTACAGTTATATTCCATTATATACCTGTTATATACCAGCAGAAACTAAGTGGTGCTACTGTTTTGCTGTTTATCTTTCTGCTGGTCCAGGGTCTGGGTCTGAGAGTCTATGACAGAGCTTTTATTTCCTTCTCTTCAAGATTTTGCATGTCACAGGCGCCAGATGTTTTCCCTTTGCAGCTTTACTGTGTTCTGCTTTTCAGTGTGGCATTAGAGGGAAGGTAAAATGGGAAGTTGTGTGAGGTAGGGGTGATGAAAGAAGCAGCTAGCATTGGCATAAAATGGAACTTCTTACAGAGATTAAATGTAAATGAATTTATCATTTACTCAACATGGGATTGGAAACCAATTTATGTTTCAACAGCACAAAGCCATATTACACCACCAAAATTTCTGCCAAGAACATTTATATATGAAGTTGTGGAAGTAGTTTTTTTCCAATATTCATTTTGGTTTTGCTGAGTAACTCTGTGCTTACGATTATGAGACAGACTCGTGACACTGAACTGATTTTCACTTGGAGTTGCAAGCAAATAACCTATATTCAAACTAGTTGTTCATGGGATTTTTTCCCTGGGCAAGTTTATGGCACTTTTTTTTTAGTTATAATTGATTGGATTTTCTCTAATTGCTGTACTTACAAACTTTTACATGAAGTGTCTTTTAAGAATTTTTAATACCATGACACATTCATTGATTGCAAATTAATGGTTAATTTTTTGGCATAAATTAATAGTGAAAAAAAACTGGTAGGACAAAAAAAAATCAGTGGTAGAACTAAATATTGAATGACCCAGTTTCTTTAGCATACTGAAATTTGTGCAAGAAATGTATTCTATAACTTTTTTCACTGCTTCTGATGTAGAAGCAAAGGAGGGATTCTCAGTGATCCTTTTGGGCATTGAATAATATTCTCTTCATTTGCCACAATAGGATTAGTGAGTAGATCTCATTAGGAATTTGCACGTGACTTTTATTTTTTATAGATAAAAGGGAGAAAATTCCTCCAAGTCAAAGAAAGTCTGGAAAATAAGAATTCAAGCAGATAGGAAGTATTACTGCAAAGATATGCTTTCATCACCTGACAGAAAAAAATTAGTTTGCCTTCTTTCTTAAAAAGGTGTATGCTAAGTCTCAGAAATACTTCTGGTAACTTAATGAATAACGACCACAATAAAAGATAATTAAAATTGAAACAATTAATTATTTTTTATTACTGCAGTCTTAACAAAAGAAAACATGTAAGGGTAGCAAAGATGGTTTAATTTCCTTAGGAATAGCTCATAAATTTGTTGATTATCTTTTGTAGAAAGAAGTCCCATTATTAAAAATGATAGAAACGTTTTTGTCATTTACAAAGCTTTTTGTAAAGGCATCCTTTATTTTTCATGGCATATTTATGACCTGACCTTCTACCCCATCACACTTTAATCCTGAACACTGTATTTGTAGTCCAGGTTTTAAAAAATATAATTTTACAACATACATTAGTCATCACCTTCACCTTCTGCTTCCTTTGAAATTAATGCTCCTTGAAGCCCCTATTAAAAATGTTTCTGAATGCAGAATGTGTAAGGATTGTTAGATAATCTCCCTTTCAACAATTTTTCTGTATAGAGCTCAGAATATGTATGAGTTTTTGTGAGGAAATCATAAAAAGGGGGAAATCTTGTAAACCCAAATAATTGCTTTACTGCTCTATACTTGAAAGCTGTTTTGATATGCCATCTTGAAAACAAGATGAAATTTTATTGTTATAACTGATGCTTGGAAAATGTGTCTGCTGGAGAATCGTTGTCCTGTGTTATAGTCAAAAAATTAATCTCTATTGCAAAAGCGGTGATTGCAGTCATTAACACTAATGGGTGTGTGTGTGCAATTCTTAGACATATGAAGGACCAAAACAAGAAGGTTGCCAATCTGAAGCACAATCAGCAATTGGAGAAAAAGAAGAATGCACAGCTGTTGGAAGAAGTTCGTAGGCGAGAAGACAACATGACCGACAACTCTCAACATTTGCAAGTGAGTTTATTTCTCAATTTTCTGAAAAGTTTTCTTAGAAAATTCACTTCTGTTACAGTGTGTGTCTTCCAGAATGTGTAATGGATCTGTTCCCACAAAGAGCTGGTGGTTCCTTCCTTTCCTACCAGAGGATACATTGCTCACCCCAGTTGTATCCATGAAATATTTACTGTTCAGGGTGAGGAAAAAACCAATAGAATTTGAAGACCTCTGCACAGTTACTACATCAGCACCTGTGTTTTCTTACAGTTGGAAAGAAAAGCTTTAAGGGTATCTCTTCTGTGTTTCAGATAGACTTTGAGCCTTATTCCAGGAGAATTTCTACAGTTTGTAAGTTACTGAGTTAGGTGGTTGAAAAATGAATGTCCTTAAACTGATCTGTTTAAGTGATACATTACATACCAGGGAGCTTGTATTCAAGGCCACAAAATTGATGCTTGACTTAAAAAGTGTTCTCTGAGATCTGACTGTGAAAAACCACGAAGAGAAGTGCTGATTTCTGTTGACAACATCAATGTCTCCATGCCCAATGTTTATAGGCAATTTACAGTGCAAAATATCAATTTTGCCTTGATCTGGTTAATATAATGTGTTTCTGGAAAATTTCCAGAGGATGGAATTTGACCCTCTCATGCTTCTTATGGTTGTATTTCTCATGTGTTCCTATATGCAAAATGGAAAAATTAACACCACATCTCTCTTTAAGCTTGTGTTGGTGAAACCTTATGTCAGAATCGAGTTCAGGAAATGATACATTATTTATGCATCTGTGTGGTGTTATGTTTACTTTTCAGCCTTGGTCATTACATAGTGATTGCATCACCGTGCATTCCACTGCACAGGATAGAGCAATGAAAGCTTGCAAAGGATTTGGTCTGACAATACGATATATCAAAATTAAATTTAAGTGTTGAGCAGCTACTTGTAATTATAGTGGTTGAATAAAGAGAATAAGTTATTTTTCAGTATTGTTTTGGAAATCTGTTACAGTGGGGTGTTGACTAGAGAATAGAAGCCATTCTCAGGGTTCTTGATGTAACTGCTATACTTGGAGGTTTCTACTTGTGAGATGAGATTGTGTCTAGTAAACGGAGGTAGTGTGGCTGAATGGCTTGAATTTAGAAAGAAAATACCTGTCTGGTGTATAGTTCTTCTGTTCCATTCACTTCCTGTAAAACACTAAGAACAGTTTATGAAAATGAATTAACCAAGAACAGTAATTTCTTGTAACTATGCCTTAAAATGTCAATATTTTTAAATTATCTCCTTCAACATTACTTTCAGTAATATATATATTAGGTAATATATTCCCAGTAGCTGCAAGAACAGCAGGAGGAAGGGAGCCTGAGTTGTCTGTGCTGCTGGATTGCTGGTAGAAATAATCCTGCTTTCTCTGCCATAAAGGCAATCAGCTGCCCTTATCAGTTTGCTGATACAAATGCTTGTTGTATTTTCTCTGTCAAAGATTTCCACATCTCCTTGACTTATTCCTTCTCAAGCATTTCTTAATGCTGAAGAGTGCATGGAAGCTTGAGGTTTCCCTGGGATTGCAAGATTTTGCAAGGTTTTATTGCTCTACGAAAACACTGTAGTGAATCTTGCAAATAAAGTAAATGTTTTGACATTAAATTGCCATGTCACAGTGCAGGTGACAACTATGATGTACATTTATTCTGCTGTTAGGAAAGTATTTTTATTTAAATCTTTTCACTTTCATTACAGTTTTATTTATTTCATTACAGTTTATTTGTTTTATATGTGCAAGGTAATTGCAAATGCTAGGTGAGAGCATTGAGTCTTGTTATATAAATCTGGTAAGCAGGTGATTGACTTGTTGAAAAGCCAAACAAATTCTAAAGCTCCAGTCAATTAGTCTTGGTATAGAAAGGAATTATTTTTCATAATTTTTTAGGAAAACCTTACCTCCTTCATGGAGATTTATAAAACATAAAAGCAGTGATCTAAGGATTTAAATGAAGCAGCATTTTTGGGGAGACAAATGATGTGACATACATGATAAACTTTGAAAAAAAATTCTAGGAGTACTATGCATCTGCTAATTAACAACAATATTAGCTGGTGTTTCAATAAATTTTTAATGAACATCTTAGTAAACCACAGGGACCTGACTACCTTTTCTTACTGTTCATAACTTCTACTGCTTTTAGTGGAAACACCCAGCATTTATATGCATTTATAACACACAGTGCGAGTGTCTACAGTGTAGTTGTTACATTTGTGAATGATGTATTGAGCTGTTAGGGGAAAAGTGTATCCTAAAATTCTCTGGCCTGATGTCATGACTGTATTTGTTGGCTAGCTGTGATAAGCTGGCTGTTGGCTGGCTATGATAAGCTCAGCTGAGAATTGAAGAGTAGTCAGACTGGTCAAATTCCATTTACTCCAGCCAAGTCTCGGTCCCTTTTGTAGAAGTAGTGGAAAAGATGAAATAAGAAAGTGAATACTGTCCATGGACCACTCAGGGGCTGCTCAGGGCAAGCCAAGGCAATCAAGTGCCACCCTTTCTCTACAGCTCATGCAGGGGCAGAAGCTCTGCCCATTCAGCTGTTCATCTGATTTGTGTGGCTGTGAAGAGGTTCAGAAGTCTGTAGTTTCTTGGAAGCTTCCATAGTTTGTGATAGTACCTGAGGATTGTAGCACCATGTATTTTGGTGACACTTTTCACAGTCTTTTCAGGTAAAAGCCTCTGAAAGCTGGTTCATGTCCCAGTGTCAGAGCTTGCAGGGCAAGTTTGAGTCTCTGGTGGCCCCATCTCACAGCACTCCAGGGCCACTGATGTGATGGAGAGTACTCTAGGATGCCTGGGGAGGAAATTCACTTTGGTCTCCCTCAGCTATCATCTGTAATTGTGAGTGATGCTTCAGGTGTGGTTTTGGGGGCTTCTTTGGATCACTGTAAAATTGGAAACATCAGGGAGCCAGATTAATTCTTGGGAATGAAGAATAGTTGTGAGGTTTTCTGTTTTTTTCCTAACACAAATCAAGGGCAGATCTGTGCAAATCTTGCCAGGCATGATGGTCATATATTACACAAAGCATCACAGCAGGAGAGCTGGACCTTAAACACTTTATCATGAATTTTTTTTGAGAATGGTGTATCTAACATGACTTCATTTTTCTGTCTTTTTTTGGTCTGTCTTAAAAGTGATAAGCCTTTTTGAGAAACACTGAGCTAAGAACTATACAGATATCATGTCATAGATTTGTGCATAATTTTTCAAGTCTCTTTACAGGATCTTGAAACATTATATATGTGAGACTTGTTTATTCCCTGAGATTATTTTTTCTTGATTCTTGTGTGGAATGTTTCTTCCAGTAACACTAGTACCTCAGTAGAAGTGGGAAAGGAAATATTTGCTTAATGTTGAGAACATGAATGCATTTGGTTTCGATTCTGATTTTCAAATCTGCTGTAACAACAACAACAAAGTATTCTTGTTTCTCTAGAGTAAGCAGTAAGAGGGTGCACTAATAATATTCCCATGTGTCTTATGACATAGCCTCAAAGGGAATTGAATACACACTTTTGTCTGAGTATGCTTTTCATAGAAGTAATGTATCAAGTGATCTAAGTCTAGAAACACTGTTCTGTGGAAATTCTACGCAAACTGTCCAATGCATATGCGTCACAAAGAAAAGTGCAGGGATGAACCTGAAAAAAAGGTAATAGGTTTAATACCCTATTCTGCCCTGATCAGCAGCTTCTGGGTGTTTCCCCCCTTTCTTCCAGTTCATCTGCTGGCAAAGTTTTTGACTCTCCTTATGTTTTAAATGTTTGAGGTAATTTGTCACAATTCTCTTTGAGGTAGCTTGCGTTTTCTTTGGCTGGAAATCCACATGCGGAAAAGAGATATTTCACTAACAAAATTGTTTTTGAATGAGACAATGTGTAGTGCTCATTGATTTCAAATATCATATACAGGCAGCTTGATCAATGGTTTGTGCCTGCAGTACTGTGGAACAGATTGTGTACACATGTACGTTTTCCAGGTGTAAATACCTCACTTTTTAAACACAGTTCAGCTTGTCAGTCGTGCTTTTTCATGGGATGTAGTGAGGCAAGGCAAGTGTTCCAGTTTTCCAATAGCTCTATACTGGCTGGAAATTTAGACTTAGGTAATGAATAAAACATGATCAGGAGGAAGTCCTGTCAAAAGAGATAAAAAAAACTCTCTAGTTACTATTAATGCTTTCTGATTCTTGTCATGTGAATATCTGATGTCTTAATCACTGAAAATAGCTCCCAAGAGGTTTCACAGCTAGTCAGCATGAATCCTTCACCCTGGATTTGTTTCTTTATTTGTCACTGTGTGCTTTGCCATATAATTTTCAACTTCATAATAGCTCAAAAAATACCAAATGTACCCAAGACATTGCACATTGCTGTATGTTATTTGTGTTTTATAAAATAGCATGGCCTAAACAAGGGGTATATCTGACATTACTATGAATTTGCTATGACTTCTCTTAATGCAGTGTATTTCCTACTGCATTGTCTCCAAAGCTTTGATACTATAATATAAATAAAAAGGGGAAGCTAGGGAGTGAGATGAAGTCTTGCAAACAAAAATGAACAGAGCAGTGTAATCAGTTCAGAGACAGAGGAAGCAGTCCTGACTGCTATGTGGACAGGCATTAGTGTATGGAGCTGACACAAGGCAGGAAAGAATTCACTGCATAAACACACAGCTTTGTATTAGTCGTGCTGAAATTCATATGCAGTGACAGAATGCAACCTTTTAAGAGGTTAATATCATGATCTATTGTATTAAAAGTAAATTCTGATTTAAGCATCTGTCCTAAGGTGGACCAATACTTTTCTGGACAGCTTTAATAATTCTCAGTGTTTAATAATTCTCAGGGTTCTGTATGTTTCTGTTTTTAAAAGGTTGGTAATTATTGTGGGGGGAGAACAGAGATAAGATAGGGATTTCACCTATTTACACCACTCCTGTGATTTTCACAATGTGCATGAGTGAA